CATGGAAACAGAGATAATATGCATCCTTGAGAACTTGTCTAAAGGTGTTATGTGGCTGAGGGTGAGGCACGGTTTGAAGCTCAATAACAGGCAGCTTCGGTCCTTGAAATAACATCCAGAGCGGACGACATAGACGAGAGGGAAATTAGAAAAAAAAAAGGAAAACTGGTTTATTCAGCCGTGGTATCGTGATCATAACATCCCACACCCCCTTTGCCATCCCATCCATATCCTTGTACTGGGCCCCCTTCGTCTGTTATTCTCTCATTCCCTTTCTCTAGAATCCGTCTAACTCTCAACAGCCAAAGCCCTAACACCAACCAACAACTTCCCATCAACACTCACACTCACAACCCAATACTCCACCCGCACGCTGTCCTTCACAACCCTGTACACCCTCACATCCCGCCCCTCGCTCGCCTCCGTCACCGCATCAATCAAATCAGTGTACTGCCCGTTACGATCCCAGTCAACAGGGTCGAAGATCTCGATTTCGGCCTCGGCGGGGCTGGGATGGTTGATTAGGGAGGCGAATGTTTCTGATTTCAATAACTGTCAGCACCTGTCTTGTCCTTCGACTCATCCTTTCCGCTCCTGTTCCTGTTGCTACCTTCCCTCCCCTCTTCCCCCGCCGCCCCAAAAGAAAAGAAACGAAATCCTTCCCCCTCCCTCCCACCATCAAACACGAGAGAGAGAGAGAGAGAGAGAGAGAGAAAGAAACTTACCCTCATCCGGAAGCACCTCCTCCCCAAACTTCAACGCGACCCCCTCAAACGGCTCATCCGCATCGCTGACATAGAACTTATCCCCCTTTTCCAACAACTTGGCAATCGGAGACGGGAGGGGAACCCCCTCGTCGCGCGTCTTGAATGTATTGCTGCCGACTTTTTGCGTTGCCGGGTCGGGGCGGTCGCGCGGGTAGCCGAGCGAGGGATCCTCGTTGGCTTTGTTGAGGAAGGCCATGTAGGAATCGTCTGAGGCCATTTTCGATGTGGTGGTAGACAGCTTCACGGTTGAAATGACGTGCGGCGTACGTGCAGTACTTGTTAAACCGGACGTAGTGATGCGCAAGAGCGGGATAGTGAGAAATCGTTGAGCTGCTGGTCGTTGCAAACGGAGAAGCGTAGAAGTTGATCGGGAGAGAAGCAATCCAGCGGGTGTCTGGTGTTCGAGAAAGAGCCGGGTAATTAGCTTTGCGGTTTGTCGAAAGAGTTTGTGTTGAGGTTGGAAGAAGCGACTAGAACAGATCTGGGTCAGGGTTAGGAAAGTTCAAACCATTATGTTGTTGTGTTTAGGTTGAGAACGTGTTTCGTTGGGCGGGACGACGATGACAATGATCACCTAGTCAGGTGGGTGGGCTGCGTGGTGGGATGCGAACGAACGTCCGATGATGTAACCTGCAGTAGCTGAAACCAATTAGGAATGGCGGATCTCACGTTGGCCTAAGAGTGGAAGCGTCAACCAATCAGGGGATGGGCTCGTTGCAAGGTCGATCGGGGTTTGATATGCCCTCAACAACAGCCATGTACGCTGTGAGGACTCCAAAAGCACGACTAGGAATATGAGAAGGTGGTCTAAAATTGATATCATCATCAGTCATGGTATCGCAGATGAACAATATCAGGAAGAGAAAGCATAAGGACGGGTAGAGGATCACAGGTGGGAAGCTCACGAACAGTTGATAAATCGAACACGTCCAGCGCAGCATAACAGGCAACGAGAATCACACAACATGCTTCATTCAAGAGTATCAAATTAGGCATATCTATATGCGACTGGTCGTGTCATTACCTACACTAATGGGGGCATAGCAGCCCAAGACAAAAGTGCCAAAATGACACGTAGAGGTTATAGACAGCAGTGTCCATCGAAGCTGTGCCAACCACCAGAAGCTTCACATGTTCACGTCACATAAAACACATTTTGCTGAAGGACACTCTTTCTGGCAGTACACTGGATCAACGTTTCATTGTTCTTCAACAGCTTTTTATTAAGCCGTAAATGCTAGGTATAGTCCCATTTCCCGACCGACCCGAAAGAGCAACGAAAAAACCGTGACACCAATGCAACCCGACTAACAAGGAGATCGACTGCAGCAGCCAATTTACGAGCTGGCAGCGAGGTCCTTCTTGAGGGTACCCTGGAACTGCTTCTTCTCGGCAGGGGTCTGGAAAGCACCATGACCGAACTCCGAGGAGGTGTCGATCCACTTGAGCTCGACCTTCTCGAGGGCCTTGCGGGAGGTGTGGACGAACATGGACTTGCGGAGAGTCATGACTCTCTTCTTGACACCGGGAACGGAGCCCTTGACCATGACGAAGTCGTTGTTGATCTCGCCATAGCGGACGAAGCCACCCATGCTGAAACAAAGTTAGTTTTGCGCTCTTGAGCTTCAAGACAGACGGGGATACATACGGGGTGATCTTCTTCTTGGTGACATCGACCTCGGTGGCAGCAGAGTCCTCAGCATCGCCCTTGCCAATGCGGTAGATCTTGTGGTTGACCGAGGTACGGTGGTGGTAACCGGCCTGACCAGCGCGAGCAACAGTCCACTGGACGTGGGAAGGATGCCAGGCACCGATACAGGCGACCTTGCGGAGACCCTTGTGGGTCTTGCGAGGAAGCTTCTTGGTGCCCCAACGAGCGGTGACACCGGTGAAACCGTGACCCTTGGTAACGGCAATGACATCGATAACCTCGTCCTTCTCGAAGATGGAGTCGATGGAGACGGGCTTCTCGAAGAGGCCGTGGCCGAACTCGACCTTGTCGGCGACGGAGCCACCGTTGATCTGGATCTCCATAAGGTGGGCCTTCTTCTGCTTGAGGGGAGTCTTGCGAATCTGGGTGTGGGCAAGAACACGGACGACAGTGCAGTACTTCTTGATGCGCTCGAGCTCGCGGGTGATGGCGGCACCGTTGTTGTCGGAGTGCTTCTTGACGTACTTGGTGAAGGCCTTCTTCTTGGACTTGTACCAGTTCTTGTAGAAGCGGCGCTTGACCTCGTCGGACAAGTGCTCAGCCCAGACGGTGGTGAGGGAGCGGAGACCGCGGGGAGTCTCGATGTACTAATATCGGGGTTAGATCATACGGTCGCGGTAGGCCATATACGGCAGCTGGACAGGATCAAAGACTTACGCCGACCAGACCCACAACGATCATCTGCGAGAGATGTTAGCCATTGACACAAAAAGAGCCAAGCGGGCTGCGTTGTACGTACAGGAGGGGTATCAATGATGGTCACAGCCTCAACGACCTCCTTCTTGTGAGCCTTGGCGCCGGGGCGGTCGAGGTCGCGGACGATGGTGGTCATGCCGGCCTTGTAGCCCATGGCGGCGGTAAGGTGGACGGGCTTCTTGGCATCATCCTTAGGGAACCTGTCATGAACGCGCAACTGGTCAGCCTCTCTGTTCGCATGCCCTATTGCCCAAGTTCCAATCGCGAAAGATCCAAACTACTAGCGATAGTGTTGTTGATGGTACCAAAAGATGAGTTTGACTTACGACTTGACCTTTCCCCTGTGGCGGGCCGCGCGCTTGCGGGGAAGGTAGGCCAGCGAACCGTGGCGGGGAGCCTCGTACTCTGAAGCATCGAGTCAGCATGGAGGACGTTCAGGTTGCCATGAGGTCCAAGTCGTGATCACGCATGCTCCCCAAAATCCAGTCGCCAAAAAGTCGAAAATGTCGATATCGCGACGACCGTCTCTCGGGAAAGCTGCTCCATCGATTCTCTCGAAGTCGGGATTGCGTGTAGAAATCGACAAAGACCGTATGTCTGGCGGCGACAGCGACGACGGTAAGGCGTTACTTACTACGGTGAGACATGACTGCTGATGATCCCAAGTACCCGGGTTGTTGATGGTCGAGTGGGAAAAAGTTCACTACCGCGAAAACAAAATCAAGAAGTATCGCCAGAGAAATTGGACCAGCCAAATTTTTGTGTGAGTGGTGTGGATTGGACCGTGCACGGGCCAGACATGCAGCGGAGCCCTAACTTTTGCGCGAGCCCTTTCCGGCGGGCATGTCCGCCTTCCTGTTCCTCGAGGCCGCCCAGCCAACCAGCGATGACCGGCCAAGCCCAGAGCAATCCACCCCACGAAAGCGACCCCGTACACTTAGTCAGCTTGGCGGGCCATTCACTAATGGCACATTGATGACAGGTAAAGTCCTGTTGATGTGGCAGAAACGTGACTTTGACTGCTCTGCGTATAAGTCCGTCATCGTCGCCGCCGCCGCCGTGGTACGTTCACAGATGGAATACGAGATATGACATTCTTTCGGCACCTGCTCGTGGCAACGGCTCTGTTCGGTCTAGTCGGTTACGATATGTTGAGCTCCAGTCTTCGTTGTTCCTCCCCTTGACTCCGTCTTGATCACATGGCTGATTCTCCGAGTTCGGTGTCCGCGCCCACGGTGTCAAGGAGAGCAAGCTGTTGCAGCTTTTGATAGCCTAGGTTGAGCTGTTTGGATGAAAGCGAGATCTCCATCTATCGGGGTTGCCAGTTGCGTGTCAAAAGCATGACGACATTGTAAAATGCCCCATCTGCTTCTTCACTCTATACCTCTAGCCTATGGACAAGGGCATCATTATCACAGTCGTAGATGTAAAACAGGTGGGTTGGCTTCACATGAATACATAACGAGGCGGACATGCACGGTCAAAGGCGTGCTGGTTACAAGGGATAACCACGAAAGCACTAGCTGTCGTCTGCTTGACTTTCCAGGCTGAGGCTCCATTCAGGCATTTCAATAACACCATGTTCCGTGCGGCAATGATCACGACATTGCAATTACGATCTCAACAGTGTGACGACAATCGTAATCATGTTCTCTAACTGGCCTCTATGGCAAAGCAGCGAGTTCATTTCCGCCTCTTAAGGATATTCCCATTCCCTTCTCGCTTTCGACTTTCCAACAGATGACATGCACACGCTTCTATTCCAAACACAAGTCATAACAATGTATGTACATCGGAACCCGCTCCTTCCTCTCCTTCCTCATCTCCTAACGATCAGTCAAAACGTGGTAAAATGGGGCAATTCGCACCCATGAGATCTTGAGCTTCACAGGTCCTTCTGTCTTCATCATCCATATGTGTGAGTAGATGACCACTCTCTTCAACTACATAAAGCGAACAAGTCGACGTACATTCCCATCCATGAACGAAACCATTATGACATCGACAGGATCTTGGGTTCTCCTGCCTCTGTCGTATCATAAGCAGATACACTAGGTCTTGTCTCTCGCGCAGAAGCTCGAGGTACACAGCAGATGACGTGATCAGTTGCTTTCTGACTTTTGTCCAATGATGCCGTTGAAGCTACCGCTCGTTGAGGCTCCGTTCTTGGGCTCGTTTGCTGCAGGGCCGGATCCGGAGGAAGGACCGGGAATGATTCCGCCCTTCTTGTCCTCCTCTCCGCTATCGTCATAGTCCTCGTCAACGTCCATTTTGCGGGCCGCACGCTCAGGCTCATTGACGATGGGGGGGTGCTGGGCTGGAGGATGGTCCATCCGTCGGTCTTCGGGGGCGGGCTGATGGGCTGGGCCTGGGCCTTGCTGCTGAGGTCCGGGGACTGGCTGCTGGGGTCCGTGGCCTTGCTCGTGGATGAGGTTCTGCATCGGAGCCGAACCTTGCTGCATCGGCGGCAAATGGGCAGGGGCGGAATGAGACTGGGGATGATGAGCGGCCTCCGAAGGGTGGTATCCCTCATTCTGGTGCCGCTGCTCCTCGGCCCGGCGCATGTCCTCCATGCGACGCTGTTCCTCAGCGCGGCGCTGCTCCTCAACCCTACGGGAATCTTCCATACGACGCTCGTCGAAGCGACGAGCCTCCGACGAGTTGCGACGAGCATAGGGCGGCTCCATTCGTGGCGGAGTCATCGAGGGGCGGCGATGCCTATGGTCATCCATACGGACGCGAGTCTCCTCCGTCGCAGGCTTCTTCACCTCCCGGTCATCTTCCCACTCACGCATTCTCTTGGGGCCGACCGAAGGAGGGCGGGTATCATGCTCCCTCTGATGAGGAGGTTCACCAGCCATACCTGGCTGAGGGGGGTGGGGAGGGCCTGGCTCAGGGCCACCAGGACCGCCCTGCTCACCATGCGGAGGGTACGGCGGCTGATGCTGAGGATAGGCGGACTTGGGAGACGGCATGCGGTTCTCGTGCATGTGAGGTGGTCTTCCATCAGTCCTCGGACTGTTGTTAAAATGCATCATTGCGTTTGGAGGAGGAGGGCCGTTTGGGCCAGGACCAGAATTGGAAGGGACCACGTTCTGGGGATTAGCGTAGTTCGGGTTCCTCACTCTAGTTCCACTACCCCCTTCCCGAGTAGGTTGTGGTCCTTGCTGAAGCTGTTGCTGCGGGTGCGGCTGGTGCGGTTGTTGCGGAGGAGGAGGGGGTGGAGGGGCGTAATGAGCCTGGGGAGGGGTAGGTCCTCTTCTGAGCGGCTCGGGCGCCCTGGCCTCCTGATAAGGCCTCATTTGCTGCTCCTGTCGCGGGCTGGGCTGTCTGGGAAGCGGCGGAGCGGGACCACGAAAGGGCTCCCGGTCTTGACCCGAGGCATATGGATTCGGCGGCTGGGGAGGAGGGTTAATGTCGGAAATTCTTCCACTCCACGAGTTGGCCCCTTGGCCCGGGCCAGGGCCACCGTTGTGCATCGGCTGAGGCGGTTGATGAGGAGGCTGACCTGAGCCTGAGCCCGCCCACTGAGGGCCCGGAGGACCAACCGCACCGGATGCATTATACGTCTGAGGGTGGATATCAGTGGGCATCGGGACTGATCCCGGGGGTGCGCCGCCGTTAGCTTGCCCACTTCGGAGAAGCTGCAGTCTGGTCTTGATGTGCGGGTTGTTGGGATCCAGTTCGGCGGCACGTTGATAAGCGTCCAGAGCATCGCTGATCTGGTTGTTGCAAGACTCATACAAAGTGCCAAGGTCATACCAAACTTCAGAAATGAAGGGGTTGAGCCTGATGGCCCTGGAATAGGCATCCAAGGCGTCACGATACTGGTTGATCTGGTAGTATAACACACCAATCGAGCACCAGAACGTGGGGTTCCTGCCATCCCGGTAGACAGCTTGCTGATAAGCCTCGTATGCCTTGGGGTACTTTTGGAGTTGCATGTAACAACGACCGAGCAAGTACCAGCTTTGGGCATCGGTTTGGTCTGATATATGTCAGTATAGGTGCATGAAGAAGCCAACTGTATCCAAACTTACCAGCTGAAACGGACTGATTCAGGTACTCGATTGCCTTTTCCTGGCTGGCAACTGAATTGCTTTGCTGGTGATGCAGCCAGCCCAACTGCTGTAGGACCTTTGCATGCTTTGGATCACGTTGCAGCACCCGCTCGTAGGCTTGCTTGGCACCATCATACTGTCACAACGTCAGTATTAAGAGTCGAGCAAAGAAGTTCAAAATGCATGGCACACTTACGTCTTTCTGCTGTTCATGGACGTGACCAATCTGGAACCAGATATCCTCTTCGGTCAAAGGAGTAGGAGGAGAGTTGACAATGTATCTAAAGCACTGTTGACGAGTAAGCTGACTGTCCCATGCCGATCTTATCAAGACAATGGTGTCGACTTACATCAAGCGATTGCTGGTACTTGTGTTGTTGCTTGTAGATTATGCCGAGACGAAAGTATATCTCATGAGCCTTGTCAAAGTTGGGGTCCATGGCCATGACCTGCGAGAATGCTTCCTCTGCATGGTCCAAAGAGCCATAGCGATCATAAAGAATACCTATGCCATACCAAAGCCTCGGTTCCTGCAATCAACAGACAGTTAGCCAAAGCGTTGTCAATTTTGAAAAGAAGCACCCCAAGAGGTACAAAAGCACGCACCTTTGGGTTGGGAAGGTTAACCAAGGCCGCTTGGTACGCAGCATATGCCTGCTGGAGGTCCTCCATCATAAGAAAGCAATGACCTAGACAACAACAGTTAGGACCCGGGTATAGTTAAATACACGTGGCGAATAGGGGGCTGCTTACCGAGGCTGCCCCAAGCTTCACCGTTTGCAGGCTCGATCTTTAGGATCCTCTGTAGATATTCCGACGCCTTGGGGAAGTCCTCGCGCGTCCTGAGGACGAGACTGGCGGCATTCATAGCAGTCACAGAGTTGGGGTTGGCTGCAAGAGCCCTTTCATAAGCCTCTAGTGCCTCGTTGTGGTTCCCCATGAGCTCGGACACGGAACCTACCATGATTGCTAAATTAGCATCGTACAGAATAGCCAACAGAGGCAGCCAACAACGGCGTGGGAAGCACATACCGATTCCGATCCACACATTCTCAGTCAAGCTCATGAAGGCCTGCCGTTGTTGATTCCATGAAGGCATCGACGCCGGCGGTGGACCTGGGGGCCCTGGCGGGCCGTGATGCATTTGCAACTGCATCGTAGGGGAAGGGTGGTGGTTTGCCATTTGGGCGATGTTGCAGGAGTAGCGCGCGGATGGCGTGTTGCTCCTCGATGGACTATAGGAAATTGGAAGAGGCTAGGGCGGAAGCCAATGGAGCGCTACCGACCCAACTTGACAGTAGAGGTAGAATTCAAAGTTTTACAAGGCGATAGCAATATGGCCTTGGGATCCCATGCAGCTGTTCCCGGGGACGCTGCGGGGATAGTATGTACTAGGTAGCAGGGTGGTGGTGTCAGGGGCCGTCGTCAAAATGCGCAGTCAGTCACGATGACTGTACCAACCAAAGTGTTAGGTTTCTGCTCTTTGGGCGGCTGGACGACAACGATACGTGGCGACGGCGTCAGCAATGCAATGGTCGTGACGATGAAGTGCCCGGTTCTTTCTTGTGTGTTGGTGGGCAGACGCGATTGTCAAAAACCGAGAAGGATTGATTGCGAAGGGGACGACGAGAGGGCGGCCTGTCGCAGCTTCTTATAGTTGGACAAGATCCGCCCAAGCTACCGAGGTCGGAATGGCGACGTCGTGCTCTCTTTTTTTTTCCCCAGATGGAGATTTGGATGAGACGAGCAATGCGGAAATATTGCTCGCGGCGATGGCTGACTGGTGTGAAGGGGGCACACCGGCTGAGTTGGGATGGAATCAGGTCCAAGGTGGTGGTTTGCGCAGAAAGAGTCGTGCGCGATGCAGCGAAGGCGGGAGACGGGAGAAAAAGAAGGGGAAGGGGGAAGGGCAAAATTGGCTGGGGAAGAGGCGATCTAAAGGCAATGGGGAAGGCGGCCAGGAAGCAGCTCGATTCGCTGGACGGGGAGTTCTGACCACTTTTGCAAACTCCCCTAACCCACGGCGTCGTGTACGTACTTTTGGCTAGGTAAGTTTGGAATTTGCTCCCGGTTCCGCTTGGTGCCGCATGTCATACGGCGCGCCAAGATAAGTGACCCACACGCGCTGCACAAGGCCCTGGCGGCACAGGCAGCCCAGGTTACGGCTGGCAGGTCGTGGCAGGTTGCGGTACATTGGGGCGGGGCGAGGTGGGCACAGGGGTGCTTCCACTTGGCTGCACCGGGGTCGGGGTGCCTAGTGCAGTGTACCTAGGTAGGTACCAATGTACTTGGAGCGACGAGCAGGGCACGAGCACGAGCCAACGGAACCTACCTACCTCTACCTACACTAGTTGGACTCTTGACCCTTGTTGCCCGTACGTAGTGCGGTTAGGTTGCCCCTGGCCGAGGCCAAGGAACCACGATGAGAATGTAGAGGCAGAGGTGAGGCAATATGTACCACGCCTAGAGACTATTTAGAGATGGTAGGTATCCAGACAGCAAGCATATGATGGTAGAGCTACGGTACCCATGACATCGAAAATACCTCTAATCACGATACGAGTTGGAGTCCTTGAAGGATAAGTCTGTAGGCAGTATGTAGTCTCGAGTAGAGTGAGGGGTCTGGGTAAGGGGAGGTGCCCCTGGTCGAAGACCAAGAGAGCAACCTACTCCCACATCCCGTCGAGATGAAGAGGCCCAAGAGCTTCCGAACGGAACTCAGGTCACTACTATGGCCAGCTTGACTGCAGGCTGTCCATCATATATGATCTGTCTTGATGTTGGAACTCAGGTTTGCGGCTTTACAGTCTGGGTTCTCACCACTTCACCACCCATCATCCGCTACAGCAGTAGGTACCTACACAGGCATTGCGCAAGAGTGCTCGTAGTTTATGCGGTCTGGTTGCAGGATGGATGAGCGGAAGAAGCAATGTAGGGCAAGGCATATGCACCCATGTTGGAAAATATGATGTACTCTCCGCTGCAGTCTAGCCTCCTCCGTTCTTCTGGCCCTTCAAGACTGGAAAACAACGGGATGGGATCTCCCAGGCGCCTTGCATACGCCTACCTCGCATTTTCGCTTCGGATGCCTCAAAGGTGACTGTCTTTGACATTTCACGCTTGCATTCATTGACCTGCAACAATGAATCTCAGTATAACCGTACCCAGCATCGGATGTACAAGATCAGACATGCTGATACATGGGCAAATAGGTACTCTAAGGTGCCATTACTTACCTTATCTGCCGAGGGAATTCCGAGAAGCAAATAGATCACATGACAGCACAAAAGGAATACAAAAAAACTGCAGCATTCACCCTTGTCTTCATCTGAATCACTTTCTTTTGTTTGACGGGAAACCTGGACGAAAATGTCAGTTAGCTTGCACTCCAGCTTGACCAACAGAAATAATAAAGTTTTCCTAGAGGTATCGTATCTTTCATGACTGTACAATGGATGTTAGAGCTACCTATTAATGGCAGGAGCCAACTTGGGATTCGGAGTGTCCATAGGGAATTCCACACTTACACTACTCGTCAGGCTTTCAAACCGATCGTCTGGCTAGACTGACTATACGCAGTATAATCGAACATTGCCCTGATCTTAGTGTGCGACAACGGACACATACTGCCGTCAAAGGAGAAACAAAGGTACATGGAATGGACGAGTGAACTACCACTGGCTAGAATCCATCGGCATCCGACCAACCGACTCCTTGACGACCAGATGAGTGCACGAATCCACGTTCAATCCCATTCAAAGGGAAAGCGTGAATGGTGGGGAGTGCGGTTGAACGACGTTTACCAGCCTGGCTGGCGTTGGTGGTACGTGCCTAGATGCAGATCGAACAAGTGAAGCCATTCCATCAGCGATCATCTCGTACTCTTCCGGCTAGGCATCCTGAAAGCTTCCAAAACTCTGGGCCATTCGCGCACAATAGCTCCGTGGATCGGCACCGCACCGAGCCAAACACGTCCGTCACGCACAACAGCATGAGTGCCGGGTGGAGGTATATGATGGGAGGCAGGCGATGTTCCTCCCCCTTACGTTTTGCTTCAAGTTCCTGACTCGTGCTGCAGTCCGGGTGTCATTACCTACAGACTGAAGTCCAGGTCTTTCCCCAAGTCCGACCAAGTATATCAAAGTGGAAGTGGAAGCTGCCCCTGTGTTTCATTCGTCCATTTGAGGCTCGACACTTGTGCGGCGGTCTATCCAACTATGTACCCCGCACTTTCCGCAATTCTCCCTGGGCACTTCGGCCTTTGCAGCCAGGTGCCGGGCGGTTGGCAAGCACCAACTGACAAGCATTCTTCACCTCGCTAGCCTTCATTCGGGTTCCGTACCAGAGCGGTGAACTGACTTTCGATCTGACAACTTCCATACCGATCTGTATCCAACTAGGTGCAGTGGCTCTACAAGTACTGTGTATAACTTTCTTTGTCGTACAATTCGCCTGGGCCGGGGAACGAACGCTTCATCCCAACTCCTTCTCTTTTCAGGACTTGCCCTACCAGACGACCCAGCGATGATCTCCCTTGGGCGGCGTCTGGTCTACTGGTGTGGCTGTCGACTTGGCCGACAAGTAGCCATGGTGGCTTGGACGGGCGTCCAGTGATATGGTAAAGAAGAAGGAGGTCTGTTGCTCCAATCAATCACTCTGTCGTGGTGTGCCTGACGCTGACGAGCTGCGGGAAGGGGGGAGAGTGGGCGCGCGCTGACACGTTCCTCGCAGGGGACCTCCACTTCAAGGGTCGGTAGACAAAGTATGTACTCGGTACGAACAGGTACGAATTCTCACCCCCCTCCTTCTCTTCCGGCGGGCCACACTCCACACCCTAGCGACTGGATCGAGAGGGAAACAAAAAAACAGCAGCCCAAAAACGGGGACCGCACCCCACAAAGGGGGAGGAGATAGATGGAGGGGCGTCTCCGGAGCAAGCGGTACGGTGTTACAACAACGCCATTTTCCTTTTTTTCCCTCGCTAGTCTTCTTGGCGATCATTTGCCTTTTACCCTTCCTTGGCGGCCACTGGTCACCCTCCTCTTCAGGATCTACCGTCGACCACGCACTCCCGTCCACCAGCAGCCAGCCCGAGCCGTTCTGCGGCCTGAGTTGTTGGACAAAACCGGTTCCGATGCATTCTGAAGCAGCTGGGAACGGCCGCCGAGCAGCGTGAGCGTTCTGCCACCTGCATCTTCCTCCCAAATGCCCGGTGCACGGCCCCCCAACGCTGCCGACCAACAAGCCTCAAGTCTCCCGGCCCGTGTGCTTCCACCGAGAAATACCCCAGCCCGTCCGTCGCCAATGTCTGGGTGCTTGCAACAACGCGGAACCCCATCAACCCTATCGGCGCAAATGAGGTGGAGGTCCGTGATTGGGGGGGCTTTAATAGTGCGGTGTGCGGGTTAGGTGCGGGCGTAAGGGGGTTCAAGACAGGGACCTTACACGTAGTGTACAAACAAATCGCACGCCGTCAATCGACAGGCAGCACCGTACATGTTTTCGTGGAAGGTCCGGGCCGGAAAACACGACAAGACGATCTGTGCTCCTCAGCCTTGGAATCCTTGATGGAAGATCGTGCCATAGATCCGGAAATGGTGTTTACCCGCTGCTGCTGTTGCTTGCCTGCCGGATCCTGTCGTGGCCAGGTCAACGACGACAGACAGGCATTTACCGGTATGTCATCATTTTCAACAGATTTGCTTCTCGTTAACTACCGGCATCGTCACTGGTCGCTCTTCCCCGTCTACGTTGTCGCCAGCTGGTGCCGCCTCTTGCGTTCACAGCCTCGCTTGAGCTCCCATCATGGTTCCTTACATGATGGTACGGCACCCGGTATGCAGTCTAAAACATCATCACCTTCAGCAGAAGCCTTGGATGTTCATGGCTTCAATGGCCTAGTTACTTACCCTTATAGTTTAAAACTCGGACAGTCAAAGGTGAACACTGCTTTCCTTGCTTGTCAGGGCATGAAACAACCGCTTCCTCCGAGCCCTCTCCGAGTCCCGAAGAGTACCCAGCGACTCGACGATGTCAGCGACAAGTTTCCTCCACCACTATGCTTCACCTGCACATATGTAGTGCATAAACAGCCCGTGGCAGTGGCGTGGCATCAACACGACATTTGATGTCTGTTGATATCATCGTAACGGCGACGCGTAGTCATCATACATCTAGCATAACTTGACTTGCTCAAATCTGCCGGAGGTGCAGCGCTTTTGCGTGTTGCCTTCCAGCCCAGGTATCTACCGAACCCACTTCAGCCCCGTGACGATCCATGGCCTGCAAGTACCTCCCTGGAAGGACCGGTGCTAAGGTCGGACGTTAACTGCTCCGTGCTTCGGGCATACCTATTTTGGCAGCTTTCATGTCGACTATCTTGCATTCGATCGTAAATGCAGGCAAGGCATGATTTTCTCGGTTAAAGGCGTCATCGTTGCCCTAAACTTGCCACAACGCCATGAAAACGAGAGGAAGCCGACGGGGTAGATGCCTTCTGACATTCTTCCCAAGGCAAGCATCACCGGTACTATTATATTGCACTCTGAGCCTGAGATTCAGCCTCGATCTCTGAGCTTCCGAGTATTGACACCTTTCGGCGTTTCCCGCGTCCGCGTCCGGGTCGATAAAAGTCCGCCTACTGGCCAGCCAGCCGGCCCCACAGACCCGACCGTTCCGGCTACCGCTGCCGCTAGCTTCGGCTCGGCCCCGGGTAACAAACGCTTCCGATCGTGAGGGCGTCCCCGATCTGGTACGGCTTGACAGGGTTCAAGGAATACTACCTATCCCAGCCAAGGTTCCGGTGCAACAGCGAAGTTGGCTTACAGCTGTGAAAGGACCGATATTTCCGACAAGAAAATAAGCTTGGAAAAGATTGAAGCAGGTGCATTGCAACAATTGCCGTCATTTTGCTAAAATGATTTGGTTCCTTAAATTTTCCGGAGTTTGCACGGCATATTGCGTTGGCATAACTATCGAAAGCAGTTGCACAGAGGTGAGTGGGCTTGATGTAATAGCACGTGCTAGTAGCACCTGTCAGATCCTTGGGATTCGATCTGGTCTTTGGTCTGCTTCCATCCCATCTGTCATCGTATACTCGTATAAGAACTCTTTTCCATTCACTAAAGTGTATACAGTTCATCCTCATGTGTTTGCCAACCGCAGAAACACATCAAGTTGACTCTGTAGGCGCAAATGGTATTTCGGCTTGTGCACTATTGTCCGCTATGATTGAAGTTAGCTTTCAGTGGATGTAAGCTGGAAACAATACATTATGTTCGTCGTTTGCTGGGAGCCTGGCTTTATGTAGTTTGAATCAATGGAGCTTTGAACTTTCCTGATATCTCCGTTCCAGGCATGATCTGTTCTTAATGTTTCTCTTTCAAAAACCGGAGAAAGAAGCGTTGTCAATCTCACCTTAATTGTGCCACTAATATAGTTATATATGTGACATTTGTGATGGCCATAGCCACCCAGCAAATTAGTGTAGACTTTCGAGATACTAGGCACGTACTTATCTCACCAAGCTGACCAGGGTGATGATATGAATAAGATACCCGAACGAGGTAATCCGTTTCATGACGAGGGGTTGATGTACAATCACCCATGTAGCTCGCTGAATGGATGGCTATGATGGGTAGTTAAGGGATGGGTAATCGGGTGGCTGTGAATAAATTGGGCTGACGGGTTGGATGGATGGCACCCGTAAAGATGGGATGATAAAGCTGAAGAACGTCGTGGGGTTTTATGTACAGGTACAGTAAAATAGACGAGGCGGAACCGACGTCCGTGTTTGGTTCTCGAACCATAGAAGCGAGGATGGGCGTGGCTCATTACATAGCTGGGTTGCGTCGAACATGTCGGATGGTTGGCTCGGATGGTACCGCATCTTCTTATCCAATATAGTTTCACTCAACTAGGTATAGCGCCGGGTATATCTGGCTTCGACCAATCTGCTAGTGAGTTGATGCCAGTCTCAAAGCTACTTGGGAACAATCAAAATCAAAGGATTGGTCAAGTAAAACCATATCAAATGAGGAAATGCGGTACTGTACTCAGTAAGGTGGGCAGAATATGGCGATAACGTGAAAGGAAGCGTGAGTGAGCTGGGTAGGGTACAAAATGTGAAATTTGACGAGCGACGTAGGCGGAGGGAGTGGATAGATGTGGTAGATACTTATCATCTGTCTGTGCTGTCGTTTCTTTTGTGTGAATGGGCGGAATCAGATGAAATGAAGTGACGATGGTGGTGATGGGCAATATCGGCTCGGTACTGCATGTGGTATATATCCCTTAAGTGACATATGAATGGGCCAGTAAGAAATAGACCCGACTGATAGCGATAGTGGTGATACTGATGGTGTCCGATGGTGTCCGCTGAATGCGAATCCGTTTTATTAACTACCAACCATCCATCCATCCATCCCGCTTGAGGTTGCCACGTCCACGCAGTTGAGAGCGAGGAGCATTTCGAAATGGAAGATCACGCATTGTGTCCCGAATGTGTGTGCGCGGCGCGTAAAGTGCGTGCGTCATGCCATGCTCGTACTGAATAGGCCCCGTTGCCAAACATGGGAAATCGCATATGCGGGCGTCGGGTCCGCGGAATTGTATGTGTCTTGGCTGTTCCTTCTCTTCCAATGGGCAGTTTGTCGGTCCGTCTAGAACACAAAAGAGGAACCGGGTGGCGGTAACCAGAGGTTCTGGCAGAAGGAGAAGGCTGAGGCATCATCAATCATACCATGGGAGGGGATGAATGGATGGATGACCAGATCCAGGCACACTTCTGTCAAGCCGAGGGGTGGCAAAGGAGGACCGCCGCGAGGTTCTCTTCAGTGGTCCCATGGCGTGTAAACTGCTCTCATGTTAGAGAAGGAAGGGGACGGATATGTTCAAGTCAGATGGCAGACGCTTGTGTGCGGTGGAAGTAAAGGCGGTTGGATAAAGGATAAATTTGATATTGTGTGCTGTATCGCCAGTAAATTTTTGCGACCGGTATGTTGTTGCACGTTCATCTAGAGCGGTCGGGCGGCCTGTCGGGTAAGACGAGAGTAATAACAATGATCACCCTTTGCAAATGGGTGCAGAAAGTGGCACACGCATCAATTATTGCCGGCCATGTCCCGAAAGGGTCAGTCACTGGTTTAACGATGTGACTGAGCACAGGCCATCCATCTCCCGGAAATGGGAGGTTTCTGAGATGAGGCAGATGGAAGGATCAAGGGCTTTGAGGGAGGTTGTGGTGGGTGGAAGGTGGGGTGGCACAAGCCGGTCACAAGTGGGACCAAAAGGAAGGAGAGGTGGATACAGATCCGCCGGGGAAAAGAAACAGGGTGGACACCCAGTTTTGGAAGGCGAGGAAGGTTTGGATGAAATGTCATGGATCAAAAAACCCCTGACGTTGCTTCCGACCCACGAGCTATTTCGGGGCCAAGCACTCTTGGCGTTTAACCCTGAGGGGAAGTTGATAAACTTGTATTTCATACCTTTGAATTCATTTCTCTTCTTCTCCAAAGAACGGCATTTTCGGCATACCAAGGTCAGGACGGGTGCGCAGGTAAGCCGGGTCAAGAATCGAGGGGCTAGAATCTGTCGGAGTTGAGACGGGAACGGGATCGCGAGGAGTCGGGCTCGGGGTGGGGTCTGCTGCGGTACTTCCCGGTACGATTGTCGGAGTCTCTTACGTAAGATAAAGTGTGCAGACTGATGAATCGTGCGGCCGCCTGGGTCACGTGCAAGCCCAAATCTGTCCATTGCAACACCACAGACTGACAAGACAGGGAGGGGCTTGCCGAGCACTCATTCCCGTCACTCCTTTGGTCAACTGATGATAGCCTCCTTCTTCAGTTACTTTTTGCTTCGGTTTGTTTGCGGACATGGTGACGCTTCAAGTGAGCGTTCCCTCGTTTCCATTCTACCGTGTCTTTCGGGCTTTTCTACTGCTCCTGAAGGAACGGGGTATATCTGCACGTGCCCGAGGGCGGCCGAGTTAGATGAGTGGGCTCCCGGTCAGTGTTCCAGCTCCGCATTTTCATCAGCTACACAACGCTTGTCAGGATCGAGAATGGCGGGTGCCGAGATTCCAGTGGACGGTGACGACGACCATATCGGCCACAGCCTTTCCTCCACCCTATTTTACTAGAGGCTCCACCCACCCAAGAGGCTCAATCCTTCCACTCAAATTCCCCTCAACAAAATTCGGCACCCGCTGTGACGGGCCGGGCAGTTGGTGTGCTCGGGGCGCTACGACCACCACGGCGGGACTTGCAGACTACCTGAGTTGTCACCCCTTTCTGCGCCTCCAGTACACTACATATCGCACACGGCACAAAGCCCACGAGTTCTGAGACTGGACCCCGGGCCAGCCGACCTAGAGCCCGATGACGAAAGGCAAGTCTCAACAGGGTCGACAGAAACGCCTATGTATGCCTTGTTGTCATTGGCAAACGGCAAGGCAGACGACATGATATCTTCACCGAAAAAGGGGCCATTAACCACCTCACGAAAAGTAATGAGGCCCAATTCTATGCGTACTGTAACGCCCAAGTGCTCCGCCATGCTGACAGGCCAACGGCACCTTACCTTCCATGGGGCGTTTTCAGTGATAAAAGACCTGCCTCGAATCGCTAGAGGTAGTCGAACAGCTCAGCATCGGCATCAACTGTAACTTCCCATGGGTTTCATTGCATTGGAGCCCAGGAATCAGCACGTGAACAACGCCCTATGTAACAGGACGGGAGCACCTTTCACACTTCTCCCCGAGTCGTCACTACAATGCCAGGCACCAGCAAATCGTCTGAAATACAGATTCAGACCGAGACAAAAATTCCATGCGCCACGTTTCTAGCCGGGCTGGCATGATCATGTCCGGATTTTGAGCATGGAGATGGAAAAGGCATGATTGTGGCTTGAGCCATCAAGCCTCTGGTGTTGCTCATTGATTAACTGGCTTGGAATCCCACGGCGTGGCACAAATATTCCGAGCAGGTGGTTGGTCCAACGGCTTGGCTGCAAGGATTCATCACAGAGGATCGACGCTGAGCAATCAAAAGAGATCAAATCGTTCGGCGCAAAACGCGGTCGTCGCAGATATGTACACCGAGCCAAGCCATCTTTCTCTATCAAGCCCTGTGTAACCAGCACCCCAGGTTCGCTCGAGGCAGGAAACGAACCCCTTGCTGACACCCTTCCTCAGCAGCATCATGGGTTCAGCAGCCTGTCGAACAGCCAACCGACAAATGCCAACGGGGACCAATCCCCCTTTGGGATTAGCAGCTTCATGAGTTAGCCCCCTGCCTTACCGAACCGTTGCACAGTAGGTAGATGGCTCGTTACACAAGCGTTTGGTTATTAAGCTCTCGATGGCTTGGGAACGTCGTGATATCCCGAGTCCTTTGAACCCTAACCCTGGGCTTAGATCAATCAACTTGCCCTACCCATCTCTGCAACATACCAAGTCGCTTCAGAGGCGTCAGCAAATCTTAGTTCTTGGAATCGATGAGGATATCAGACATCTTGGATTCGAGGCAGGAAAGGATCTCGGAAGGCTCGAGACTTTCTAATGAAACTGGCCGAAATCATCAAACGGGTCCTCGTGGAACAGGCAAGGTGCCGCGAATCACTGATGCGCCCAGTGGCGTCTGTTATACACTTGGGAGGAACGCGGCCTCCCGAACCAGAAAAGATGAAAATGTTTGGTGTAGGTATTACGAGACTTCATGAGTCGTGTGTCTGTCATTGAGGGCCGCTCGCTGTTCTCGAAACTCGTGCATACCGGCGGCAGATGTCTTGCTTTAATGTGGGTGTGTCACCCTACATTCCAGCTCGTGTTTCCCTCCGTTCTTTATACTAGCCCTGTGTGGTCTGCTCTGACTCTCTTACAAAGCCACTTGCTGCTTTTCTTTACCTAATATCAAATCATGACCTCGACCAGGTCCCATTCCGTTTACATCGCAACACATACTCCTCCTCATGATGTCTAGAATCGCTCGATACATAACACATCAAGGGGTAGAACGAAAATACAAAACCTGAACCTGTGCATCTACCGAATATGCATGCAAATCCTAAGCGGACTGCGCGAGACGTTGAAACAGGTCATGTTGTACTTCTCACATTCCCTCCTACGGTACTACCTTGCTGCGTTGCTGAGGTCCCGAGGTTTTACGAACGGGGGAGGGAGCGGTTTGACCAAAGATGTAGTACATGTATCAGTTGTCATCTCTCTTTTCTTTCCTTTACCCCCTTTTTCCCTCTCCTGACAACACGATGCTTCTCTTGGCTGCAGACGCCTGCCATGCAGGAAGCCGAAGCTAAACCGGACATGCATCTCCTTCAAGAGCACAGACTCTTTATTGCTGTTGGCTTCGTGTCTGATTTATTCTGTCTCTCCCGTCCGTCTGTCCGTCTCTCTGTCTGTTTGTCTGTCTGTTGTTCCGTTCTGCTGGTCTCGTCTGCCGACTGTCTGGCGGACATGTGCTACCATGTCACTACATACCTACTTATCATTGTCATGATGGATGAGTAGACCAGACGGGGCCATGGATCGGGTGTATGCTGTGGAATGGGTGCGGCGGGTTCATGAAGGGATGACGAGTGACGGAATCCGGTGGCATCTGACGACGTTACAGCACTCGAGTTACCTGCATACGTACGTCTTTGATGCGCGGTGTGGAAGGATATTGCTTGCTACTACCTGCTACCCATCAAGCCACAATCTGGATGGGTTTTCCCGTCCTAGGACAAACGCTACATACACTCTGGGCAAGTGGCTCAGGGAAGACGCCGCGCAACTTTCATGCGTGCGTTCCCTCTTTGGCTGGACGGGTAGCCATAAGAACGCCTCATCCCGCCTCCTTTCGCAGATGATACAAGCGTCAATCAGCAGCAAATTTGTGGCTTGATCTGAGGCGATTCACTGACTCCTGACGTGAAGCAGGCAGATAACGAACCCTTACCTCTCGTCCCTTTGACCTTTGCCTCGCATACCACAGTACATATATCTCAGTGACATTGAAGAGGCAACAACGCCCATTTGGAGTAACAAGTCAAAAGCCACGAGGTATGGACCCGGCGCCCGAATTGGTAGGGAGTGTGCACTACTTCCCTTGTGCGGGCACAACTGATCACTGAGTAAGTCTTTCGTGTCTCAGTTATGTGTCCCCCGTTCTTCCTTCAAGGAGATTATCATGGCTGGAAAAAAAAACTCATTTCGGATTGATTGCGGGTTCAGCCCGTGTGCTGCTGGGTTTGGAACGAGAGTGGCTGAGACTTGATCTGTTTGAGGGCAAGACTTGCCCACCTAGGGTTCGAATGAGGTCCTGATGAATTGACTGACTGACCTTGAACAGTGTGACTCGATCCAATCTTTGCGAGATGAAATCTCGTGGAACAGAAGCTATCTTGGTTCAAGCGGTTTTCGATCACTAATTGACGTCAATCTGAGGTCGTAGTCACTGGTTTGGTTTCCGAGTTGGGCGGGCTATAATCAGCAGAAGACGACAGTGACTTCTTTCAACCTGGATACCAGAGGTTGTTCTACAAGAAGCTTGACAACGTTGCTGGTACGTATGAGTCCAATCCTCTTCAACATCAAGGTACGCCTCCCCTGAAACTTGATATTGGTTCCCACCATTACCGTCAGCCTCATTTTAATTCTCATCATGGAAACAACTCATGATATGCCGTCTTGACCACCGTCTTTATCGTCCCCTTCCTTGACTCTCGCTCGATCCATGTTCCATAGAATTCTTGATAAGAACAACACTTACCTTCCTTTCTCTTTAGCCCTCATATCTCACATCTTCCTTTCCCCCCTCATCGTCTTCAACATCGCCATGAAGTCTTCGTCGCTGTGCTCTTCTTTCATTTCGCTTTCGTTGCCAGCATAGTCGACAATATCAGTGTCAACGGTGTTGCCAACGTCAGCATCCTCTCCTTCCTCTTCAACGTCATCCACCCCATCTTCATCTTCGGTATCGTGAAAATCAGTGCCACCTCGTTGCCCCCCTTAATCAACGGCATCACTGGTTACATATCTGTCGTCGACTTGCAGTCCCGCCATCATGTGCTCTTTTACTTTCCCACTCTTCCTCCTCTACCCAACCATTTCCGAACTCTTTCACATACTCACTTGAACTAACACAGGTGGTTCTTTCCATCACCACTTGTCCCCGTATTCTCTCCCCTCCCATGTGATCTCTTCTTTCTCTTTCTCTTCGTCATCCTCAATTTTGCTTCATTTTATTTCATTCAGGAATCATGTTTAGGTGTTGATCAAACTGGGCCAGTCTTCATACCAATTTAGACAACCGCATTTTCATTAACCACGCACCTGTTTCTAGGAAACTACTCTGGTGGATTAGAGGAGGATTGGGAAATGATGTGACGCTATCAAGACACCAGCTGTTATTTCGCCGGCTAGGACACCCACATCGGTCCCAGCTGCTGCCGCTGCCATCTCGGTCCTCGTCTTGCTACCGGCGTCGAGTCCGGGGCCGCTGTCGCTGTCGCTGGGGAGTGGAACAGGATGATGACGGTAATGGCATAGAGGACGAAGAGAGTGGATGATGATTGCGACGGGTTGGCGCCTGATGATGATGATATGTTCGAGGATGATGAGAACATACCTACATGAACAGAGGAGAAACTAGAAGAACTTTTCGAGGGAAAGCAAGAGAGAGGATTGTACAAATAAGGAAAACGGTTCGCAGCCTTCAGAGTTAGCTAATGGTCGTGAGACTAAACCAAAACTGAACATGAGACAAGTCAATACAAGTGCCAATACAGTTTAGCTGGAATGAAACCCTTTCTCCGTGACATGACACAACTGCCCCTGTGGACTAAGTTGGAAACATTTTAAGAGAAAGATTGAATCTGGGATGATCTTGGGCAGAAAAGGTTCATGGTCAAGTAGACGGTATTCCAGAAACGAATGTACGCATGATGCAATCTTTTGTACAAGTTTTGCAATTCACGTTTTTGATTTAATTTCACAACTACATCAGTTTGGAACAAGGTACTAGAAAAATTGGATGTTTAGCAGGACTTCGCGTACCCTTCCCACCGACTTTGCGCACTTCTGTCACGAGAAAACTTTGTAAATCAACAAGTCCAACAGTTTTAAAGGAGACCAAGTAGGAAGTCAAATGCTTTCTCAAATGTTTGAGATTTCTTTCAACCTACCTCTGGGTTAAAGAAAAGGTAATGACATAGCTGAAAGGGGGTGAATGAGAAACTCATGACATAAGTGTTGTTTTACGAGAGTGTATGCGCAAAGTCAAAGTCGGGTGGGGCGTATTCTGTCCTTCGTGTTCTCAGCGTGCTAAATAGACTTGCCAATATTTCCAACACAGCGGGCAACTGATGGCATGCAAGCCACCAGTCCTTTGCGATCGAGTTTTCATGAATCAAAACATAACTTATAAAATATTCTTGGTAATTCTGGCTCTCTTCGAGCAGTTGCTACTTTCTGTTCTCTGATTATGCTTATGCTGTACGTGACAGACGTCAGTTGGAGGTTTCCACTTCTCAGATCTACTGGGTTGGACGCACACCCACAACCTTAAGTCTTGATATTCCACTTCCTCTCCTCTTGGTTCTGTTCCTCCCACTTCTCGTACTGCTGCCCCTCCTCCTCTGACTCCTTCTGCGAGTAGTACTTCCTTCCTAGGTGGCTTCGTTCTTCATGAATGACATATCGCCAAAGGTATGGTGGCATGCGTCCGCCATATCTTCGAGAATAATTCAGATCGGGTATCAATGCAGTCTCGGTCATTCTAGTCCCGCACGTTCTCACGGATGATTATCGCGTAAATCGTAGGCCACGCTGTTCCATGACAGGATCTCCTCGTTGAACTTTTCCCCCGCCCCGATAATAGATGCGTCTAATCAAGCTGACCGTTGCAGTAATTTTTGGCGTTTCTTATTCATCTTCAAGCGCTGCTTCTGCTGCCGTCATTATCGGAGCTGGAGCCCGCCTCGCCCGTCTGCGCCGTCATCGTCTTTTGCGTATTCGCCTGCGGTTGTGTCTGAATGGTTGGGCCGGTAGCCAATGGAGCGGGGGGCTGAACAGCGGGCGGGGCTGGGTTACTCGAAGCGCGAGCGGCGGCGCCGGCGGTGGCAGCATGCAGACGTTGGTCGAGAGCTTTAAGAGCCAGCGCCCTCCTACGCTCAGCCTCGGCTCTTGCGCTGCCGGGCACGCCGCGTTGGTGGCTGTGGTGCGAGAAGGCATTGTCGCCTCGCGCGGCTGAGATGTGATCTTGCGTAAAAGGCGTGCAGACGCGCATGGCGACCAGCATGTTGAAGACGTTCTCGGAGATGCCCGCAACCACGGGCCGGACGGGACCGGGGAAGAACTCGGCAAAGGCAAAGGTCTCGCTGGCGTCACCGCGGAGGGAGCTCGTCTGGGACTGGTCGAGGTCGGGAAAGACGGCCTTGTAGAAACGGAGGTAGGTCCAGCTTGTGATGAAGCCGTAGACGGCGAGTAGGAAAGATACGCTCGTGAGCATGGGGGTGAGGCACAAGGCCGTCACGACGCCAATGTAGAGAAGTGGGAAACGGGGCACGCGGAGCGAGAGGATGCCGCGGAAGAGGGTGACGGTATGGGCGGGGACGAGCTGGCTGAAAGCGACGAGGAAGGAGATTTGGAGGGAGATGGTGCCGGCGATGGTCATGAGTCTGTAAACAGCAAAGGGTTAGCCAGCCATAGTAAAGCAGCAATGCGTCTTAGCTGGTTTGGATCGTGTACGTACGTCCATCGCTCGTTCCTGGTAAAGGTGAAGAAGAGGATCAAGGTGGCAAAGCAGAGAGCGTTCGGGATCAGGGAGGTGACGAGCAGGAATTTGGCGAGCTCGCGCGAGGACCAGGCGCGCTCAAGGTAACGACCGCCATGGTAGAGGGTCAGGGCTGCGATACTGAAGGTGAAGATGTTGCTCTCGACGAGGGTGGTTGTCACAAAGGTCCACGGGTAGACAAGCGATAGCTGAGGAATCAGGTTGAGATATGGGATGACAATCTCGGAGTGCGCCGTCCACTGGCGGTATCGGATGGCAGCGCTGAGGACGGACTGGAGGCCGAGGGCGAGGAGGCTGATGCGCGTCACGGGCGGGAGGTTTATTCGTGGCGGCATGGCGGTGATTATGTTTGGTATCTAATGGCCTGGGTATCGTCTATGAAGTGGTAGTAGTAGTAATAGTAGTAGTATGAAATAAGATATCGCAATCAGAGCATGATCGTCGAGTTCGTGCTGGCTGCGACATCGAGGGGTCGTCCGTCACCTGTCGCTTGTCAGATGGAAGCTGTCAAGCTGCAGGCCGTCGCGCCCTGGCGGGTCCGTGTCTGTTCGTCGTAGTGTAGCTGGTCACGGAATGTCCCGTGGCCTGGCCGGCAAGGTTCTAGAGCCGAACTGCAGTTGTTGCCTCAGGTGTCAAGCAACGGGCGGCCCGCCGATCATGTGTCACTGGAGAATTGGATCGTGCTCCACTTAAGGGTATGGAGATTGCCCAATGCCCGCCATGCAATCATGGTGCTCCATCCTGCAGCCGGTACGTACCTGCCTTTGACAAAGAACCTTGAATCCAGCACCATGTAACAGCATCCGTCACAGCTCAGCAGCAGTCAGACAGGACAAAGAACATGAACCGATCCGGATCATGCGGCGAAGACAATGAGAGTATCTCAACAAGAAACACATAGGGCCACTGGATGAGTGTGTCAACCTGACTTTTCAGTTCAATTTCTAAACCCCCCTCCCCCTCCCCCTTCTCTTGGACTCCAGTGCTCGGAGAGCCTGGGACTGTCGTATCGTTAACCGACGTACCAAGAATGCAAGGGGGGCTGTTCCGTCCAACTTGATCTACGACAAAGCAGAAGACAACCATAGCGACACGAAGTTCCAGCAGGAGCTTATACACTTCTGGCTTGGTGTTTGGGTTGATGATGGAATCGCACTTCCATAGAGGTGGTCCCACAAATAAATAATCCTTCTACACTACCTATATAGTACGATTGCCCTGAATTTGGTCAAGTCGGCAGAGAGACAAAGAAGGCAAACAGCGATCATGCCCTAGAAAAAACACATGTACTGCAGAGATGAAACTTATCATCAGCGAGCCGTTAAGCGGTCGTTGCCCCGACAATTTCATTCAGGCGTTGCATTCGACGTCTCCGCACAAAACACGCGTGCCACAGAGTGCGTTCGCTTCTTCGGCCTTGAGGGGGGAAAAAAGAGGGTCGCAGTCTCGATACCGGCAGTGTCCATCCCAAAAAGGTGTGGGGGCAGAGCGGGACGCTTGTATGTACTTGTACCCCTGAAACGAACCATCGGGCTGTTTGTGATGAAAAAGGCACGTCAAAACCAACTCCAGCCAATCGTTGCGGCAGCTGGTCGAGATCGAAGAGCCCCGGGCCTTGGTCCCTTGGCACCCTTGCCCAGTATGTAGCGACCCTTTCCAGTGGCCGTGCTGATTGGCCGCCCATTCGATGGATGGCAATTGGCGAGACACGGAGAGAGGAGGACAGCCTAGAAATGGAACGCCAGGGCTTTGTTCCTCCAGGGAGCAGGTCTGCAACACACGACGCTGCAACAGAATCGAAGCCAGTTCTACTTGTCCGAATTTCAGGCGGGCCAGCCCAGGTTGAGGGATCAATCGCAAAACGAGGTGGATGGAGAGCTTGGTGAGTAGATTCGCGTGCTCTGGAAAGGGCCGGGGAGGGGGGCGAGATTGGGTCTGTCGCATACACCAGATCATCGTCACTGGCTGATTGATGGTTGGTTACACGTTGGGCCAATGTGAGAAAGGGATCGTCACCTCGCGAACAGGAGCCTTGGGAGCCGGGAATTTAGTGTAGTGTAGTGTAAAGGGAGGCAATCGCACTGTCATCTGCGAACCATGATAAATATTGTTAACCAAGTTTCATGAGTTGAGCATTTGCAGTTCGTACAGTAACGGCGCACATGTGCAATGTGCAATAGTTTAAAAGCAGGTCAAAGGCAGAAAGGGCGACTTGCATCCCCCTTCCTATCCTTCTAGAGGCACCTCAATGCTGCGGAACAAACGACACACGGCACAATCGCCTGGAACTGAATCCTGACCCATCATATCCCGGCTAACCTACCTAATGTTCGACTGGCCCGGGCATCCAGAACCCCAAAAGATGGATCGTCATATGCGATGGAACGCGAAACAACTGCCATCCAATTTCTTCAACTGATCGGATGAAAGACTCGTCAGCAATGGGACAACAGATGAAAGCAGCAACTGAAACATGACATGAAGTTGCCTGTTAGAAGGCTACGCAGCCGTTAAGCGCATTGATCACATCGCTAACAGTCGGATACCGAACCTTCTTATCCCGCGGTACAAATTCCATTGAATGATGGACAGCAGTACGTACGTGTTGGTTGTCCAAGAGTGAGATGAGGCGACATCAGCAATATGAAGGAAGGGGGGTTCTCCAGATGGGCTGGATGACCCCTGTTCCTCATCGACGTCCCCCTCTCCTGTCGGTCTTCAATACCTAGTGTAAATACCTGCGCTGCTATGAATGACGTGGATTCGCTAATAATGCTGTCTGCTCTCATGATTTGTTAACACTTTGGAATCGTCGATTGCAAGTGTCGAAATTGAAACTGTCTGTCTGCTGTCTTGGGCAAGCGGGCGTGGCACTTGGTTTGCAGTTCCATTTTCTCCATATCCCAAAAGGGACTAGCGCGCGGCCTGCATCTTAGCACTCGCCTAAACGCGCAGCAGCAGCAGCAGCAGCAAGGCCCAGGACCGCCAGGGCAGGGCAACGACCGGACCGGGGGCAAGGCCTTCGTGGACGGGAGGTACCTTCCTTGTCCTCCATTTCGATGCAGCATCTGAGCAGCCGGGCAAGAACCGAAGCAGGAGCTCGCCCACCTGCCCACCCAGTGCACCCACGGCGGCACCCACTCCCACCTGCCGTCCACTGCCTGGCCCTGCGCTGCGGTGGAACACCTCGAAATCCGCACTGCCCGGGGCCCTCCCGTTACCCACCGTTCCAGTCCCAGAGGCCAAAGCCAAATCCAGCCAAATCTACCACAAATCTAACCCCCATCCCATCCTGCCGTTCGCCCTCCGCAACCAACCCTCAGCGTCGCCGTTCCAAGCGTAAACACTTCGACGGAGCTGCAGATTCGGCATTCTTGAAAGCGCGCTACAGTACCTGATACCCCATTTGCCGCGCCTGGTCGTAGATACGATCCCTCTCCCTGGACCGCGCCGACCAGTACATATTTTGTCGCCTTCGACCCGTTTTCACAACCAGTGTCCAATCGCTCGCCGCCCCAGCAATCTGCCCGTGACTGACGACGACGACGACGATGAAGGAACTACTGGACACGGACCGAGTGAACTATCTCGTTTGGAGGTTCGCCCATCCCTCCCCGCCACCCTCTGCGCTGCTTGTCAAGTGTCAAGACTCGGCGCACTCTCCCTCCCTCGGCTTGGGGCTGTTCATAGCATGGCAGGGTACTGACGATGGACTTGCCATCTCGCGTCTTATAGATATCTACTCGAGTCCAGTATGTCTGCTTTTCTTGAATCCCTCCAAGGCGCATGGCCCTTGGCGGTTGGTATATTTCTTTTTCCCGCCTTGCGAGACTAACCGCGCGCACCGTCTTTTGTTCCACAGATTATCGAGACACTGCTGCCAAGCTCCAGAAAGAATGGCGAGTGCAGGCTCCCCACAGGAAATTTGACTTTGCAAAGCATGTGCACACGTACGCGCTGGTGTCCTTGTTGAACAAGGGCCTTATCTATGAAGACTACCAAAGGAAATTTGCGGAAGCCAACCAGGTACGATAGCCGCGCACTTTCCTTAGCATTTGCTGCTCGATCCGTTGCTCTCCAAAAATCTGCATCGGCTTCAATTCGGCATGACCTAGATGGCCGGCCGGCGTCATTGTGCGCTGCCCTCTGGCACACCCGGAAAACCCCCGTGGAAGTCGGCTCCTGTGGCTGCAGCGGTTGCAGCGCTGTAATGGGGTCCAGGTTTTTTGCTGACATTTTAACAGGACACCCGTGAAGGGCAAGCAGCAGCCGAGAGCGCCCGCGGTGTGTTCGGGCCTCTCAAGTTTGAACCAGCACCCAATGAATCCGGGGAGGATATGGAGGAGGAGGATGAGTCGGAGGCTGAGACCGAGATTGAGAATGGAAATGCGCGAAAACGCGGGAGTGAGCGGCCGCATCATGTTTTGCGCAACGGAACGCCAGCAAAGCGACAAAGGCTGAGCAATGGCAACGAGAACGGAAATGGGGCGGAATCAGCCACGACGCCCATGGAAATCGACTCTCACGCAGACAGCAGCAGCAGCAACAACAACAACAACAACAACTCGAGTAGCAGCAATGTCAACAACAACAATCATGCCTACCCGTCGCCCCTGGAGGGCGAGCAGGCCGCATCTCCACCACCACGCACCGAGGGCCCAGAAAAGGGCACGCAGACAGAAGAGCCGCTAGATCTCACGCCGGCAACGGTATTCCTGCGCATGGGCGCCGACGAGAGCACAGAATCAGAACTATCAACAAGCCAGGACCAGATGGCCGAAAATCCGATTGCTTCGCCGCTGGCGCTGTTCTGCGAGTGGAACCCCAGCAACCCATCCATCTTGGCGGTTGCCGGGACCGAGGCGCTAGCCCGTCTTTGGACTCTCTCGCGTGGAGACGCCCCAGTGGCCGACATCCCTGCAGGTCACGTGGACGACCGCACGGCCCCCCCTTTCACGCTCAACTCCAGCTTCTCCAGCCTCACCGAGCAGGACGTCCTCAAGTCGTCCACCGTCTCGTCACTTGCCTGGAATGCCGATGGTACTGCCATTGCTCTGGCTGTGGATCATGGGGGCAAGTCGCGTGTCAGCATCTGGGATGTCAATGGCTCGCCTATCCACCGCTTCGATGGCGTTGACCCTCCCGTCATCAAGTTGCGCTGGAGCCCCAACAAAGACTTCATTTTGGGCGTCAGTCTCGATAGCCGCGGCATAATGGTCACTGTGTTCTCGCTGTCGACCGCAAACTCGGTCTCTCACCTCCTTGAACGCACTCTCGACGATAGTGTTCTCGATGTTTGCTGGGTTAGCGAGACCGAGTTTGTAATTTGTGGAGGTGATTGCTTGGTCGCCCTGCGCTGTGAAGAGAAGGGCATCGAGCCCGGCAGAGAGTTTGACATCGACAAGGACGAAAGTTTCAGTCAGATCAAATACGACGCAAAGACGGGGCTTATTGCTACTGCTACTGAAAAAGGCGTCATACATGTAAGCGAGACACTGCAACCAAGAAAACAACAACATCTGAACCTCTACTAACACACTACCCCTCAGATTTGGGACCAAGCGGGTCAACGGCGGTCCATCAGCGCCCATATCGGAAACATCACCGGTCTTTTATGGCAGCCCTTGGACCGCGAGCCGGAGGAAGATGAAAGATTGCTTGCGTCCAGTGGGGAAGATGGCGCCATCTGCATATGGAACGTGCGCAACGCTGACAACAAGGCAAAGTACTCGATGACGATGGCCGATCAGATTGCCAGCATCGCAATGACCCCCGACGGCACTTACATTGCCGGAGCAACCGCGGACAGGGTCTTGGTGTGGAAGCTTGATGATCCAACGGTGCCTTACGCGAGCTGGAACAAGGAATCCCATCCGGGATGGAGGAGCCCCAAAACAGGCGCAGAAGCGGACGAGATTCTCGCACCCTGCCTTGGCTGGGATGCAGAGGGAGGAAAGCTGGTCTATGGCCTAAATAGTCGGGTACGTACAATCTTCTTCCCGGCTTGTGGACTTGTGCTAACAATGTCGCAGCTTGCTGTCATCAACTTTCGCTAGGCGCGACCTAAGGATGGCCTTCATGAACTCGCGCTGGTCCTTGACGAGATCGGTCTGATTGCTGACGAATCTAACGTGTACTCGGCCACGACCTCGTCTCAGGCCTCATATGTGGCCTCCGAGGCCAGCTCGTGATTCCGCTTCGGTCTGCGCAGCTTGGCGGTGGCCCTCGGGTCTTGATCCTTGATCGCTTCGATGTCACGAGAAGCGCGAAACGCGAGGCGGGTCTGTTAGGCGTCGAAATGACGTTTCTAGTCGCATCCGTTGTTCAAGGACCATGTTGCCCCCAGTTGTTCCGCCCAAGCTCGCAGCCAGCAGTGCTTGCCAGCATTGCATGAGGATGGCTTTTCAGGGGTGATTGTGGTCCTCGACCCGCTAGCTATGTCACCTCCATGAACCGTTTGTCATTATTGGACAGGAATATTGTTAGGCGCCGCACCGGAGAGTCGCAGCCCGAGGCTGCTATGAGCTATGGCAAGGAAAGGATGCGCATACGAACAACCGTTGCAGGCAAACAGGAGGGGCGTGCTTAGGCCCTACGCAGGTCGAAATGTCTGCCATCAATGCACCATAGTCAAAGGAGGTGACATGGACATTGAGGCCGGCCGCCCTGTAACACCCGTGTTCTCATGGTATGACCCAGAGGCGAGTGAAAGTGAATGGAAGCGGAGACCGCCGATGAGGATATCATTTCACTAGCGCGGATATCCGCAACATGATTACGGCTCCGCACCTCTTTTGAAGCCCACCGCTGATGTGAAAACCCGCATCTTTGAACAGACCTGCTGTTTCCACCGCGAGTCTACAGACAATGACTCCTGGATTCTCACTGTCTCGAGACCACCCAAGAACCCCGCCAAAGTTCATTTCCGTTGCAGTTTCAATATACACGACAGTTATCATCCTTTCCGTTTTCCTATCATCGGGGCAGCGTGTGGCTCCGACACACCGGACGGCGTCTTTATTCGCCACACAGTATTTCCTTTTTGTTAGGCAACAACACTATTGAGTTAAAATAATGCGCCCGCAGGGAAGACGGGCGAGACTAAACCGAGTCCCAAAAAAAAGTAAGGCGATGGATGGCGACAAGAACAATCTGATTTACGAGTGGCAAGGCTTGGTTTCCGTGAACAGCATGGATGCATGCGATGAAGGATGGTGATCTGGCGAACCGGTTTGTTTGTATGTTTGTTATTGTAGTGGGCTAGAAACCTGGATATCTAGGTCTATGTATACACTTACTTGTATGAAGATCTCGACATGCAAAGGGTCAATTATTCTGCATCGTTTTTACACCTAAGAGCCAGGAACGTGACCAGTCACCCGTGACTCGAAGTTCCTTGGTACCTTGGAAACTGAGATCTGACATATCGGGTCGCTGGTGATGACAATGCGCATTGTTGATACTACGGACACCTACCCTGACATTGAGCATTATGCGTGAGAACACCGAGATTTCAGTTAATCTTTTGCTAAGTATTCAATTCCGCATGGAGGTTGATGTAACGGGCTATAGGCCACTGCTTTACCGCCTGTTCACGAATTGACTGTTTGCATTCACCATATGCGCATTCGTGCATGTGAAATCAATGGAGATGGCGGTGCGGGTAGGTGCAGGCGAATTGTCAATGGCTTTGTCGATACCGGGTGTGTTGGTGAGAGTGCTATTTCTATATGGGAGCGATAATGATATCCTTGAACTGCTAAGAGCGGGCCACAGATTGCCAATGCTTTGTATGTAGATAGGGTACCCCCACTAACTGCCCGAGCTGAGGGACTTCGTCACGACCGGGACGTCCCCGTTACACTGCACTCATATCACACTGTACAACCCTGACCAACGCCGATACTATAAGACGACAACGCAAATGTTTGAGAATAGCTGGCGACCGAGGGATTTCAATCCGAGCTCTACGTTTCCATAAACCCATCAAGAATCTTCAGTCCGCCGAGACTGCGTCAAAGGAACAAGCAGCAACCGCCCAGACGTTACTTCAAGCGACTACCGAGCACACGACGGACAAGAGGGGTCGTCAACCCAATTCACAGAACCTCACACGCAACTTCCATCATTTGTTGCCGGAACTGGATCAGAAAGATAGCGCTGAGATCGGCATCAGCACATATTGCGAAGTTGGAAGTTGAACCTACGAAACGCGCGGGAAGCAACAGTGAAGGCCAAATCCTTTGCCTATAAGAAGTGGAAGTATCTCGCCCTGACCATCGACTTGTCCGCTCACCTCGGACACGGACTCCTTCACTCATGCTCATTCACTTCTCAATATCCATCAAATAATCAAATCGACCAACCATCACCTTTAACAATCGTCCTCACCTTCCACCGACATACCCACCCACCAGCCAACCTCCACAACAGCCAACAATGGACAGCCACTCACCCTTCGCCTCAACCACCACCAACTCCTCCCACAATAACAGCACATCCAACCTTCACAACAACAACAACAACAACTCCTCAACCACAACCAGCAGCATCACCAACGTCGGCCCGGGACATAGCAACTTCACCCCTGAGATGCGTGATAAGCAAGCCAGAGGCAAAGACCCCTATGCTGAACGGTCGGATGAGGAGAGTGATTTTGATGGTGGAGGGCCGGCGGTTGGGATGATGGGGAGGAGTATGGGTGCTGGTGGGGGTGTTGGTGGGAGGGGATTGGGAAGGGGGACGGGGAGAGGAGGTGCGGGTGGGTTGTCATGGGGTGAGAGGAAGGATGTTAGGAGGAAGTAAGCATCGCCCTTTTCTTGGGAGTTCTTCGTTGGGTGGGTTTGTTGATGAAGCTTGAAGTGGATGGAGTTGCGGTTCGGGTGCATTTCGAGGAAAGAGAGCATGAGCAGGGACAAAACTTCAAAAACAGGGGAGAAGGACTGATAAAGGAAAGCACCAACATCAACACCAGCAAAAGCTAACGTCACCACCCATCACAGAGTAGAAATCTCCGGCAACGCCAAAGCTCTCTCTAGCATGTCCAACTCCAATCACCACGTCGATTACGACACCCGTGAGAAGCGCCGCAAAGCCTCCATGTTTCTCAACGACCCCGAGTTGTTGATAACCCATGCTGAGGCTAGTGGCATGGTACGTCCCATCTCCCGTTCTCCTCTCCTCTCTATTTCCATTCCCATCCTTATACTTCTCTTTCGACACTGGATGGATATAGAAGCTGATTAACCGTTCGGCATCCAAAAACAGACCATCGCCGGCTCCCGCCACCATTTCATGCTCATGCTTTGTGGCTACGACAACAAACCGCGTAAGAAAGCGGCGCAGGGCTCTTCCTCGGTCAGCAGTGGTCCATCGTCGCGCATGTATCAGGGTGGATCGGGGTTCAGTTTCTGAGAATGACTTGATGATTTGATGTTGTTCACGAGTGAAAAGACACAAAAACTGATCCAACATATCTATTATCAATCACTACCATATAATTTCGAAGCACTTTCCCCGCCACAGATATTTGCACCCACCGACTTATCCTAGCACTACCATAACCCTCCAGTACCTAACACGAAAGTCACAACTCCCCTTTCTTCATTTTGACAAAGACAATCAAATATGACTAACAAGAAGAAACTAAAACCCCCACTGCACCTTGAACGGAACCAAGATAGCCAGCTGCAACTACGGTCACCTGATAACCCATCCTGGTCAGAGTCGTCGGACTCTTTTGATTCATGTGATTCAATGCCTTCGTTTAGCCTTTGATGATGGGTGGTACCCGAAGGGAAGCGGGTTAGGAATTTGGGTGGGAAGAGTAATAGGAAAACGGAGAGTAATAACGAAACGGTCCGGAAATTGACAAGCAGCGAACAACAATGAACGAGCAGCAGGCGGGTATACATGGAACCAATAATGGGATGTGTATTGTGGAAAAACAGAGATAATGTGTACAAACAGAAGCGGTTGACAGAGCGGAGAGTGGAGCAGAGAGTTACCTCCGCTCTGTGTACATTTGACTCTCGAACAGCGGCTACCATACAAGCCAACATCAAAACATGCTCTCATTCATATTAAAGCAGCATTGATAAGCCCTTCATTTTCTGCAAACGATCACATATGACCATACCCACTGGAAAACTCGGGATCCCGTCCGCTCTCCCATAGATAAGCCAGTGAGGGCCAGACTAGTAGTTGGGTCGGTGACGACCAGCGAATCCCTGGTGTTGTATGTTTTTTTTCTGTTTGTTCTGCCTCTCTTTTTTGGTCTTCCTTCTTCATCGATTATGCAATCATGGTATCGTTTACCCAATTGTCTTGAGTTATTGTTTCAACTTCTATCTTTTTCGTGGTGGTAGTTGTAGCTGTTACCGTTGCAATTCATCTTGGTTTTGGCCGTTGGTTATTGGCACAACTGTTCATCATCAATTCTCTGCCTCACCGGGCCCTTTACATAGGAATCACCACTACACAATATATGACAAATCTAGCTTTTTGAGTGTCGAGATGAATATGTGGTCCGGAGCTGGAAAATACATGCACCGGTAATCCATTGAGTATACGTCAAAGATTGTGAGTGGGACGCAGCGAGTAGTATACTTGCCTATCATGGCCCAGTAAGAGGCACGCCGATGCTGGGGAGAGTATGTAAGTCGGATGTTGTCAAAATTGGCATTGGGTTGTTGTTGCCTTTCAGGTGCCTCATGTTTGGCAGAGTTCGGCACATCAGCATGTGGTGCCACAATACATAAGAAAAGAACAGGCCCACGTGCTCATAGAAAAAAAAAAAAGACAAAAAAAAACAGTGGTCATGTATGTACTGGGCTTTTTCGTTTTCGTTCTGGCACCACCTAACAAGTTGCCGGGAAACGACTAGCGGAAATAGTCAGTATATATATACTCGAACAACCTAAAAGTCCAACTGGGTCGAACTCTGACACCTGGTGAGTTGAACGTTGATGACGACCCTGAGACCTCACCACCTTGTGCAGCCATTAGGTAGGTAGCCAGAGCGCGATGCTATACATGACATCATTACAGATTTTTAGTAGCGGGATTGAATACCAACCTAACCCATATCTGAACAGGCATTGAAGAAAAAAAAAAGATTGAGATATGTGAATGGTGAGCTTACCACATGTGTCTATGCTGGTATTTTCTTTTGTTCTTTTTTTTTTTTTTTTTTTTTTTTTTTTTTTTTTGGTTTGTCTTGAGCAGGTCTCTGAGAGGAATGAGGAGCAAGGGGGAAAGGATGATATGTGGGATGGTCGGTGTAAGAGCCGAATCTAGATAAGACTCTCTCGGCAGTTTGAAACACCACCCGCACGTGAACCACAGATCTGGGGTACGCAAACCAAAATCCGGGGTGCGTGAATACCTAGCGTAGAGTCCGTTGTCAATGGTTTGGTACTGATGATGGGAAAGATTGTAACCGTTTTGGGAATTGGAGGTTAGTTTTGGGGGTAGGAATCTTGGGAAATGGTAAAGGCGGGCGGGCGGGCGGGCGGTCGACAGGCAGACATGGTACCTGGTGTAGAGCCGAGCTTGGCGAGAACGGTGCAAGTCGTGACCGAAGGAGGAGGTGAAGCTAGAAGCTAGAAGCTGGGCGCATCCGGGGCGCAATCTGGGAAAGTTCGGTAAAGTGAGTGCGCGGGAGCCAACGGGAGTGGTCGAAACAGGGCCTGGACGAACGGCCGGGCGACAGGATGGAGTGGTCTACGGAGCGGATCGGGTGCGACCCTGAGGCTCATCCTCGCTCCCTGCGACTTCAACGAAGCACAACCTGGATCGTGATCTCGTTCGCGGTGATCTTTGAGTAGCGCCATACTGCTTTGACAGACGAGGTACTGTAGGCGCATACATACGTAACGGTAAGTACGTATGTTTGCCCACCGTATCGGTGACATAAGCCAAGAAAACCCAGTACAGCACGTTTTGAGAACGTTTTGAGACGTCCTTTGTCGGTGTGTTAAGGAAATGGGGTTGTTTTTCGCTGATACCGGTTTACCAGACCCGGGGCCGGGTCAAGGCAGAGACGCCCGGTCGATCCGGTTGGTTTTCTCGTCGTCCTTGATCTGCGGCCTGCCGTCTGCGAAACTGTAAAACGCCGTAAGAACGTGGTTTTCTCTGCAACAGATGGCTCACCCCTGAATGAATGAGACCCAACTCCTGACTTGCTACCAATGAGAAAAGCCCGAGGAGTCTAGCGACCGCCTCATGCTGAGAACGCCGAAACAGTTAGAGAAAAAGCTGGAGTAAATTCGGGTCGGGCGTCCGGACTACGGGGTTACGGAGTCGTACACTCGGTCTAACTCCGTACCAACGTTTCCCAGAATAGCTGTGAAACAACTTGGTCAGTTCTGAGGGTGCCTTCCTCGAGTGTCGAATATTCTGTATGAGAATGCTCTTTCAAGGCGTAGAAGTAGCTGTAATATGGATTTGATAAAAGATCAAAGGCAAAGTGTAGAGAAAGTAAGCACTGCTTACTCTAACGCTCCGAGGCCGATTTCAAATAACAAGCTTGGAGTGTAACGTCAGCAAGGACCTGGAGTTCGTACAATGTAAGCTCTGTAAGAGTATCTATGCAAGGGCCGTAATACAGCACGCTATCGTCGTCCACCCCTGGTGCTGTTTTTTGAGGGCTGCCGTGTTTCTTTTCTATGAGTGGAGTTACAAGGTACTATACGCTATACATATACTAGTTGGTGACACCGCAAGGAGCGATGAAACTTGGCCGTCGATCAGTCTTCGGTACCTATCTTTCAGCGATAACTCTATTCCAACCGGTAATGATAGTACAGATGGAACCATGTCTATAAAGTTACGGCTCTTGACTTACACGTCGATGTATTTATGATTTGGGCAATAGACAGTTGTTTCTGGATATTGATAGAATCGTAACTTTGGGTGGCAGCCTGCGGACTAACAGGACACAGCGGTTGAGACGAAACGGTGAGTTGTTCGCCACCCCCTTCCCATGTTGTGGGGAAGGTGCTTGGGGTTAAGGACCCCAGCGCCAATCCTCAGGACTAACAGCGGCCCCGCGATATCAATGACGCGAGGCTGGGGAAAGGGGAGCGACAGCGGGGCCATAACAGGATAGCTCGCGTTGCGATGCGAGCCCGAGCTCGCTGTTGCATCTTGCTCGTCGTCCGCAGGAGATAGTGCACATACTTATAACCTCCGCGTAAGGTTGACTACAGTATGTAGTGTAATGTGAGCCTGACCCTGTCTAGCGTATCTCTATGCGGTCCCAGCCGAGCCCATCGAACCGGTACCGGAAAGTCATCGCCATTGGGTGACGACTACAGTGGCGAGCCATCGGGTTGAGATATTTCGATGCATTCGTGTAGTGATCATCTTAGTGTCCGTCGTCCGCAGAGCTGCTTATCCAAAGGAATTACATACGGTGCATTTGAGGTGACAGTCTTCAGGTTGGTTGAGGTTATTCGAAAGTGGATCACGTCGAGACTAAGCGGTGGAGTTGATGGGGAAGAGCACCATGGCAGCGTGGGGTAAAGCTCTGTGACAAGATTGCACGAGCACTGACTGGCCGGATAGACTCGAGCCTCATCATGAGCCGTGCACAGGCCGCCATGCGACGGATGCTGGCTCCATTTCACCACTTAGCTACAGCCGGGAGACGTCGGGTATGTACCTTAGTCGTACCGTTGAGGTTGCGTTGTGGGAACCATGGAATGTTGAGGATTCGTTGCGGGGACGGGATCCCAACCGAAACTTTGGTTTCTCCTTACATCCGTCTCAGCCGTCACGTATTTCACCTCCTCAGGAGGCATACTTCTACAGACGTGCCCGTCCCGCCCACCTTCAAAATATCAGCTGGCCCCAAGATTTGGATTTCTACTGGCTTGCTTACAAGGCTTGTATCATTGTCCATCAACAGCTGATTCCCTAAGCAGTTGGGCTTCACCTCCCTTTTGCCCCCGGTACCGATCTACTGAATACCTGAACAGGGCCCTGGCAATAACCGACGGTATGCAGCGCTGATGCACGCCATCTACGAAATGACTCGCGACCAATCATGTGGGCGAATTGGCCGAAGACGCGGATGCGCCCGTGCTGTCCTTCCAGTCCCCCGTCAAGCCGCGCTTCCCAGCGGACAGTATCATCGACCAAACAAACCCGAACCAACTGAATCTTGACGAGAATACGACAAACTAGCAGCTGCGCATTACCGATCCAAAGTCAATATAAGCAAGGCAACAGCAGAAGACATTTGAAATTCGACACCTCTCAAGGGTTCAATCCGATAGGGACGAGGTGTTGCGAAAGGCCCCACTGTTAAAACGCTACTGACATGGAAGCCTACACTGCCACCTCACAACTCCTCCTATACGACCATGGAGACTTATAGGTGATTTCTAGTGTACAACGTGTTCAGGAGCTAGCAGCTCGTAATTTTCGTTGCCCATCCCATATGGCTTTGGTTCTAGAGGTATCAGGGCATTACGGACGGCGGCGGCGCATCGTAGCACGTACACTGCGTACTAACATGGACGGCGTAACGGTCAGGGTCCAAGAGAATCCCGAGAAACTACTAGTGTAAGATCCCGTTACGGTGCGTAACGGGGAGGAAACCAGCCATACCATGCGCCAAGGGGGTAACCAGGTAGGACCTGGCATGTACGATTGTGCGCTACTGTAAACCTGACATGGCATCTGGGTAAAGTAGGTTGCCGGGTCTGAACAACATTGGTTCCCATTCTTGGGGTCACCTTCCCTATGCTGTGTAGGTACGCATGACCTCTTGCAGTCATGTCGATTCTTCCCATATTAAGCAAACTGAGAAAGCTATCAATGCTTCTTATCACCATGCTAGTTCTACTAGGTAGGTGTGAAAGACTACGATGAAGGTCGGAACCGTTTTTGGCCAGGTACACCACTTAATGACTCCAGCCCAGCATGAAAGTAGTCCTTTTCCAACTGTCTGTTGTTGGCCCCAAATTACCTACAATATGGTGTACACTACGCTGCTACCACACTTCGGATATGTATATGCGGTCCATGTAGAACAATTCCAGTTCATTCCACAGCCAAGAGCGAAGTGATTAAAAGGTTCGCCCGATCGAAGGGTTAGTTGCCCAATCGGGAAAGCGCGGGGCTCCGGCAAGTAGCGAATAGTCTCGACCTTCGATTGACTGGCTCGACTGAATACTAACGAGGTAGTCCAAGCGGGGCACCTAGCTCGAGACTCTTAACTCCTGAGGCGACATTCTGCAGAGATAGCATCCCGCTCACAAAGGAAGTCATGATTATCTGCTGAAGTGTGGGTAGGTAGGGTTCAGAGTTCCGTTGGATGGTCACCCATCCTCGGGCAGATGGAGAATCAGTAACCGGGTACCTTACTGGGCATGTCTCTCCGACTGTAGTTGTACGCTGACGCTGCGACTCCGGTTCGGCCGTCACCCGCGGAGCCCTTTCAGTTTGGAACCAAAACAACGTCCAGAGTCCAGACGGGGATACATCCCTCATCCCAACCCAAGTCCCGTCCAGGTCCCTCCCAATGGCCCCAAATTTCCAATGGTGCCATTGGCGGCCCTCCACAGTCCACAGTAGTCCCCATCCCGAGCCAGCCCAGCTTATCCACACGTCCGACCCTAGCTAGCAGTGTGCGTGGTAGTCAGTCAATCCGTCCATCCTTTACGGTTACATCCTCTATCCATGCAGCTCTTCATGACCTTCTCCATCCTGGCGGGTATGCTTCGTTTTGGTGGTGGTGCTCGGAGGTGCTCATAATACAAAAGCGCGTCGGCCCTCGTCCTGCCAACCCGCTGTCCTTTCCTTCTGCCTGCTGTACCTCTATACCAACCTGACCTGCCTGCTGTCCTCTCCTTTTTCCTCCTTGCCCTTTTATCCTCATCTCCTCTCTTTGCTTTGCGAAGCCTTGGCCTCCTGTCAGCTGGCCACTGTGGTTCACTCACTGCTGTGCCTTGTCCTGCGTCTTTAATCGAGCCTTTTCAGCACCGAATCCGCCTTGCTTAGTTAGAGCTGCTTCTACCTCGCATCGATCCTTTTCCAGCGAAGCGCAGGAAGGTATTGCTTGCGACCACCAGTACCCATCTATCATTACCGCCCAGAACAACCACATTACAGTCACCATGTCTGGTAGCACCGTTCCTGCCGGGGCAGTAGTGCCCGAGGCTCACATTATTGAGACCTTCCGTAAGTTTCGAAGCCCCACAGAGCCCCCAATTGGCTACGCGGCATGGCTGTCAGGAGATCCGATGCGTTCGGGAGACTCTCGTCAGGAGATTAGAGGCTCCAACACGGGATTCGGCCGGCCGCGGAGTTGCGCCGAACAAGCCAGCAGGGTCTTGAGTCAGGCAATTTGCTAACCCTGGAATTTTCTCTTTTAGAGCCCCCTAAGGAGATGCTTGAGAGTATGTCTTTCAGATTCCAACTCGAATTGATGTAACCCATAGAGGATGCCGCCCCCAGCCGAAGTTGATCCAGTTATTGGCACTGCGGGGAAACTCGCCTAGGACCAAGGGAGTCGGGTAGTTCAGGCCAAAGAAAAAAAAGCTAACTGGATAACCTACCACAGACCACCCAAGCAAACCTCATCTTGCCAGTGAGTAAACCCCCTAGAAACTCGGTTACCCCGGCCCCTTGCTATTCCCGTCCCTCCCCCCGCACAAGGCAGCATTCGCGACACGCCGGTTTTCGGCGACTGCTACGCTACCGTGCATTTCCCCCTTTTCTCTGCGTTCGACTCCAAGCTGTCGGGCCCTCGAACCCCTCATCTGGCCCAACACGCTCATCGGATATCGGGCCGAGCCATTGATCCCATCCCTGTGTGCTTGGTGCTAACACGAGTTTGCGCCAGACTTCGAGGAGTACCAGAAGCTGTACAAGCAGTCCATCACCGAGCCCAACGTGTTCTGGGCTGAACGCGCCCGCGAGCTCCTGTCGTGGAGCAAGGATTTCCAGACTGTCCACAGCGGTTCCCTCGCCAACGGTGACAACGCCTGGTTCGTAGAGGGCGAGCTCAACGCCTCGTACAACTGCGTCGACAGACACGCCCACAAGGACCCCAACAGAGTCGCCATCATCTACGAGGCCGACGAGCCCGGTAAGGGAAGGAATGTTACCTATGGCGAGCTCCTCAGGGAGGTCTCCAAGCTCGCCCATGTCCTCACCAACTTGGGCGTTCGCAAGGGAGACACCGTCGCCATCTACCTTCCCATGATTCCCGAGGCCATCGTTGCCATGCTTGCTTGCACCAGAATTGGCGCCATCCACTCCGTTGTTTTCGCCGGCTTCTCCTCCGACTCCCTCCGCGACCGTGTCGTCGATGCCCAGTCCAAGATCGTCATCACCACCGATGAGGGCAAGCGCGGTGGCAAGCTGATTGGCACCAAGAAGATCGTCGACGAGGCTCTCCAGCAGTGCCCCGATGTTCGCAACGTGCTCGTCTACAAGCGCACCGGCGCCGACATCAGCATGACCCCCGGCCGTGATCTCTGGTGGCACGAGGAGGTTGAGAAGTACCCTGCTTACTACACCCCTGTGGCCATGGCCTCGGAGGATCCTCTCTTCCTTCTCTACACCTCTGGCTCCACTGGCAAGCCCAAGGGAGTTGCCCACTCTACCGCTGGTTACCTGCTCGGTGCTGCCATGACCGGCAAGTACGTTTTCGACATCCATGACGGCGACAGGTATTTCTGCGGTGGTGACGTCGGCTGGATTACCGGTCACACCTATGTCCTCTACGCCCCGCTCTTGCTCGGTGTCTCTACCGTCGTTTTCGAGGGTACCCCCGCCTACCCCAACTTCTCCCGCTACTGGGACATCATTGAGGAGCACAAGGTCACTCAGTTCTACGTTGCTCCCACTGCCCTGCGCCTGCTGAAGCGCGCCGGTGACCATCACGTTCGCAACGAGATGAAGCACCTCCGTGTTCTCGGCTCTGTCGGTGAACCCATCGCCGCCGAGGTCTGGAAGTGGTACTATGATGTTGTCGGCAAGGGCCGCGCCCAGATTTGCGACACCTACTGGCAGACCGAGACTGGCTCCAACGTCATCACTCCCCTTGCCGGCGTTACCCCCACCAAGCCCGGTTCCGCTTCTTTCCCCTTCTTCGGTATCGAGCCCGCGCTTGTCGACCCCGTTACCGGCGAGGAGATCCACGGCAACAACGTTGAGGGTGTCTTGGCCTTCAAGCAGCCCTGGCCCAGCATGGCTCGCACCGTCTGGGGTGCCCATAAGCGCTACATGGAGACCTACCTTCATGTGTACAAGGGCTACTACTTCACGGGCGACGGTGCTGCTCGTGATCACGAGGGCTTCTACTGGATCCGTGGCCGTGTCGACGACGTCGTCAACGTTAGTGGCCACCGTCTCAGCACTGCCGAGATTGAGGCTGCTCTGATTGAGCATCACTCCATTGCCGAGGCTGCTGTCGTTGGTGTTGCCGACGAGCTCACTGGCCAGGCCGTCAACGCCTTCGTTGCCGTCAAGGAGGGTACCCAGATCAACGATGCTCTCCGCAAGGAGTTCGTCCTCCAGGTCCGCCGCAGCATTGGGCCCTTCGCTGCTCCCAAGGCCATCTACATCGTTCCTGATCTTCCCAAGACTCGCTCTGGCAAGATCATGCGCCGCATTCTGAGGAAGATCGTTGCCGGTGAGGAAGATCAGCTTGGTGATATCACTACTGTAAGTTCCAGTCTACCAACCGAATAACTGCATGCAAGATACTAACAGCTGGAAATAGCTCAGCGATCCCAGCGTCGTTGCCAAGATCATCGATGTCGTCCACGCGCAGCGCCAGTAAAGGGATATAGCGCCAACAAAGAAGTAAAAAGCATATAAACCTATTTAATCTTTTTTTCTTTATTTCGAATGGGGCATGGGATTTTGGGATTCATATACCATAAGGGCTGGCCTACTAGTATGCTGCAAGTCAGTGTCAGTAGTGGTAGTCAAACGTCCAGGAAAAGGGCAAAGGGAAGGGAAACGGCAATGATTATGTATCGGTTTTAGGTCAAGGAGAAGAAGAGGAAAGCGAGGAGGAGGAACACTAGTGGGTTCTTTCTTCTACACAAGGAAGGACGCGCGGTCAGTTGGTCCGTCATATGTCTCCTCAGCAGGCAGGCACATTGTTGAAAGAAGAGCGATGTTTTTATTTATTTTCTTTGGTATGTCATATCATGGTACTCTTTTCATTTTTTTTCTCTTTTTTTTTTTTTCTTTTTAACAAGTGTGCGTCGTTTTCTTTCTATCTTCTTGGGTTATCACATGTACTTGGATACCTTTTGGGGAAAGATCAATAGATTACTGGTTTGCATTCATTGCAACACGTGAACCATTTCTCGTTGGCCTGCCGTCATGTTGTGCAGTTTTAGTAGCCAGCAGAACGTTCTGCCGTCTCTTGAGGTAGACTTCTCAACGGCTTTGCTATGTCTCCCATCAAGATGTCAACAACCCCCTTTCCCGTTGCGGCACTAGAAAGGAAACAACCACAGTCGTTGTTAGGGGGGTGGCTAGTGCCTATAAGAAAAATAAACAAACAAACCCCTGAAACAACTTAATCTCTCTAATATCAGCCTCATGAACGAGCCTCACCTACGCCACCCATCTACAAAGTACGCTACGTATCTCCACGCAAACCCCAGGATAGGACAGCCTATCTAACAAGCGCGGGGGCATTGTACGTACAATTCCGAACTGACCGACCGCAGTGAAAGGCATCACAGCGATTGCGCAGGATTCCGCAGGAGCCGCGATTTTCCCACGGCTAGCGGGTTAGGTAGGGTCATTGGGCAGCCATACTAGGGCTTACGTTACCGCTTACCGGCGTCGTGGCAGGGCTGAGCAGAAGATTCGTCCCTTCGACGCATACATGTATTACAGGATCAACGAGCAAGAAGTTGATTATGTGTTGAATAGTGATTAGGTCTTGACGTTTTGAGTTGGAGTTGTAAGAAAACGCGATAAAGTTAATCATGGTTGGGCAGAAAATCAGTCAGGATTGAAATCCATGTAATGAGCTTTGGAAACTTAAATCCCCGCCCGACAACGAGGTTCTTCTCCACGATGATGATGATGATGATGTTGATGATGATGACGATGCTCCGGGGCGATACAGTCTTTACTCGGCTCGGTGTTGAGGACTTGGAGGTCGTACGTACATAGGTCTGTCTATTTATAGGTTAGGCTCTCACAGTCAGCAGCTAAGCTGATGTGTGCTAATACATATAGTGCAATGTCGATACGATTCTAGTTGGGATGATATGTGCCGAATCCCGCCCGACACGATCAGTTTTTTTTTTTTTTTTTCTTAATCCGTTAGTCTTGCTCCTTTCCTTTTCTTTTTATTCTTCAACCTTGCTTGCAATGTAAAACACGAGTTGCCCAGTAAAGGTATCCATAGCCTGTGTTCGTCTCATAGGTATCGGACATCCTCACTGCCGGTATCAAAAGTGTTGTACCATGTGCCTGTTAGTGCTGCAACCTCACTGGTTGGCGCAGGAGGTCCGAGATCTGAAACACAGGGCAAGGGAAAAACGACCCGACGAGAAACAGAAAAAAAAACAAAAAAAACAATAGTGTCATTCGTCACAGCTTCACAGGGCTGGGCTAGTGAAAGGCCCGGACTGACAGGGTGGGTGTATGTAAACCACCATAAAAATCGTGGATCAATCCCCTATTGACGAATGTCCGTCTTGGTATTTCGATCTTCAATCTCGGAAATCCTTTTTGTCCATGTCGGGGTTGTCGATACCGATGCCGAGATTTTCGGGAATTTCAACGAGGGATCTCGCTCAGACTGCAAGACTTGGTCGTTCATTCGCTCGCTTCGAAGAAGAAGATTAGAAAGATGTCGGTATATTTGTCAGCCAGATGTCTTGTCTCGAAGTGTATACGCGTAGCAAGCTGGGCACGATGTCTGGGCGGTAGGGAATAGAATAAGTGAAAGGAAGTTGTTGCGTTCGCGAGTGGAAGGGAATTGGGACCAAGACCGGAGGCAAGACCAAGCCTGGCGCAGTCGGGAAGCCACAGAAGAATGACTTCCGTTGTATTCTCTTTCGGGTGCGTATTGTTAAAGAACGCGCGGCCGTGGCTTGGGCGATAAAAAAGGTGTATGATGTTATGTCAAAAAGGTTGCTGATAAATGCTGAGAAGAGATCCGTGGTGAGGAGAAGTGAGGCGCATCCCCATTCAGTTGTAGGTTGTTCCTTAGTATGTTACCGCAGCAGCAATCATTGCTGTGATGATGTTCGGACCCCGGCCGGGCGGTTCAAGTTCACTGCTGACTGCACTGCAGGCGCTCGTACAGTGCCAAGGACGTGTCAATGTTCTTAGGTAGCCAGGTGAAGTGCTTGGCCTCATCTTGGCTGAGGCGCTGGGCGACCAATTATAGGTCGTGAACTTTGCAGTCTCCCGCCTCCCTTCTTTTTGTTGTCCACCGAGCCACTTGACCCGCTTCATGGACTGGTTCCTGGAAGTCCCTGCTGACCTCCCGCCTCTCTTTTTGGGTTGTTGTCGTTTTCTTCTACTGTTTGAGACACCCACCAGTAGGTGACCACCATACACGGCGGTATCCTCCTGTCGACTCCCATCTCCCTTTTCGCTCGCTACGTCGGCTGTCGGCGCTGATTGATGCTCACGCAACCACTCCGACGGACCTTTGCACTGCCACCATCTTTTCCAACTTCCCCATCCACACGGGCGCATTTTGGAGGTCAGAGTTTTGGACATTCCCTCTTTTCGCCATTCATCTTTGCACCTGTCGACTTTTGTTCCTGAAACATAAACGTTGATCATTCCCATTCCCCCCCCCCGGTTTAGTTTCTTCCAGGTCCCGCCTCTCCCTCTATACATCCACCGCCAACAGCTCCTGTTAGAAGCTATCGACTAATAGTAAGCAACAAGCGGGGAAGGACCTGGCATACGGGTGCACACATGTTTTGAATCGTCTGTGGTTTACCATACATAGCATTCATTTCCACGATATTCCCATTTCGCTCGTTTCTTGTCCATTTCAAGAACTAGTACTCGATTTGCATCTTCTCGATGGACCAAGGGCGGTGCGTATAGAAGAACATAATCTTTTAGAGCTGAAGTATGTTTGTTTCCAAGGCCTTCGCGGCCATATTTGCTGCCGTTGGCCTGCTTGTCCAATCTGCTACAGGTATGTTCGCCATCTTCTCCCCATTCGACTGCCATCTGGTTGACATAGCTGGTCTTAAGCACATTCGACGGAGAGAAACCCTTTATCGTACATTAGCCATGTCGACGATGCTGTGATCCACACACCCTCACATCGAGTGCACTCTCAGTCAACCTTTGACCTCAGCTTCTATCTCCACGATCGCCAACAAAAGATTCGCTTCGTTCTGGAACCGAACCATGACATCCTCCCCGACGATGCAACGATGCACATATTGGGTCCCGATGGCAAGGTCAAGAGGATTGAGCCTATTGCCAGGGAAGAGCACAAGGTTTTCAGGGGCACCACGTTTGTTCAAAGAGAGGGAATGACGGACGCAGACTGGAGGCAGGCGGGATGGGCACGAGTCTATGTCCTCCGGGATGGGGAACGACCTATTTTCCAAGGATCCTTCAGGGTAAACGGAGTCGACCATCACATCCAGACGAATACCAACTACAGACAAACTATGATACCAGGCGATCCGGAGATCGAGGAGGCGGATGATGAGTACATGGTTGTTTGGCGGGATTCCGACATCAAGAAGCCGGCACACGACGACCTGAAGAAGCGTGATCCTGCGAGCACGGGCTCTTGCGCCTCGAACGACCTGCTTTGGAATAGGGACGAGAACAACGGAGTCTTGCGGTGGACCGAGGAGGTTTTCGAGCATCAGAGCCGCTGGGCTATCAGTCCAAGGGCCCTTTTCGGACGACAAATGGACGGAACACAAGGTGGCAATGGCGCTGGTGTTAATCTGCTGAACAGCATTGGTTCTACAGCCGGCTGCCCGACTTCGAAAAAGGTTGCCCTGATTGGCATAGCTACCGACTGCACCTACACGGAAAAATTCAACTCGACCGAATCTCTGAGGCAAAATGTCATCGACATGGTTAATAAGGCTTCTCAGCTCTTCGAGAGCTCCTTTAGCATTTCTCTAGGTATTCGGAACTTGACTATCAGCGATAAGGAGTGCCCGGCTACGCCTCCTGACAGTGCGCCCTTCAATATGCCCTGCAGCAGCGGTGCGACAATCACCGACCGCCTTGTGAAATTTTCTGGATGGCGCGGCAAGTCCAACGATAATAACGCGTACTGGACTTTGCTGTCAACCTGCAATACTGGTTCTGCCGTTGGCCTCGCCTGGCTCGGTCAGGTCTGCCAAGGAGGCGCTACGCAAAGCCAGGGCAACGAAACCGTCGCGGGCGCAAATGTTGTCGTCAAGACTTCTACCGAATGGCAGGTCTTTGCTCATGAGTCGGGTCATACCTTTGGTGCAGTCCACGACTGCCTTCCAGACACATGCGCAGACGGCTCCGCCGGAGAAAACAAGTGCTGCCCCCTTTCAACCACGACCTGCGATGCCAACGCCCAGTTCATCATGAACCCGTCCACAGACGACCGCATTACGTCCTTCTCGGCCTGCAGTATCGGTAACATATGCAGCTTTCTGGGCAGAAACCCCGGGAGGATGAGCTGCCTCTCCAACAATAAGGACGTTGTCACCATCACCGGTCAGCAATGTGGCAACGGCATCGTCGAGGCCGGCGAGGAATGTGACTGTGGTGGCGAAGAAGGGTGCGGAAACAACCCGTGCTGCGATCCCAAGACGTGCAAGTTCACCACCAACAGCATCTGCGACCCCGCCAACGAAGAGTGCTGTACCGATAAGTGCCAGTTTTCTGGCACCGAAACCGTCTGCCGCGCCAGCACTGGCCCTTGCGATCCAGAAGAGAAGTGCTCCGGCACCAGCGGCTCCTGCCCGGCTGACAAGACCGCCGACGACGGCACTTCATGCGGCGACTCGCTCACCTGCGCTTCAGTACGTTTGTTTATACGACAGCTTTTGAATCAAACTCTCTGTACTGCATAACTAACTTTTCTCAGGGACAATGTACCTCGCGCGACCAGCAATGCAAGACGTTCATGGCTACCGAGGACACACACAACCAGACAACTTCGTGCTCCAATGAGGGCTGCACGCTCGCTTGTGAGGGCCCAATGTTCGGAAATGCCCAATGCTACTCCCTTCCACAGTACTTCCTCGACGGCACCCCTTGCGAGGGTGGCGGCAAGTGCCATAATGGCATCTGCGAGGGCGCCAAGCTCAGCAACCAGATCCTCGACTGGTTCAAAGACAACAAGAATATTGCTATCCCTGTCGGCTGCGTCATCGCCGGTCTTCTTCTCATCTCCCTCATCAGCTGCTGCTGCAGCTGTTGTCGGCGTGCGAGGTACAGGTCGAGGAGGGCACCACCAAGGATGATGGCGCCGTCGCCGGTTATGGGTCAGCATCCTGTGGGGTGGAACTGGGGCGGCGGTAGGAACGGCGGGCATGTTCCGTTGCCCTCGCAATCGGGGCCGCCACCGCCGCAATACCAAGGGCCACCGCCGCCATACCAAGGGGGACCTCCGCAGCCGCCAATGGGACAGCCTATGGGTCAGGGACAGTTCCCGGGCCAAGGAGGGGATGGAAGGTATGAGCCGTTTAGGGAACAGCAGAGGGGGTATGGTAGGTATGCTTGAGCACTACCGTGCATGTGGGTATAGATCGACTGTTTGTATATGACTGAGCGTCTGCGGCGTTCGTATCTTGATGATAAATGATGAATCTTCTCTGCTTTTATATTTCTTGCGAATACACAAACGTTTTGCGAACTGTGGCCTGACGCTATAAGATGTAGAGTCAAGAAAGTCATGGCCGGTCAAAAAGGTACTGTACATAGCCTCTCGGCATGAGCAACGGATGCATGAAAGAGGAAGTTATGCTGGTGTGTGAGTTAGGTCGGTACTACAAATGAGACCCATCCTAATCTGGTTGGAAGGTCTCGATCTAACAGACTCTCTAAGGGTGCATCACGCGCTAGATGATGCGAAGTCTACTGATTTCTAGTGCCGTTACTAGGCTCCGATCCTTCCTTCTATTTAATCCTTCAATTCCTTCATTTACAACCACCTCTTCGGACTTTCCTCGCTCCCCCCCCCCCCCCCCCCCCTTTCAAGATGATACAACCTCCAAGTTCACCAGAAAACGAAGGAAGGAATGCGCTGAACTTGGCCTTTGCCTGATGTGACAACATCGACTACAGAACTAGACTAACGGTTACCACGAATATCCCGACACATCTTAGTCATCTTCACAGTCATTTTCATCCTGGACTGGATTTGAAGAACAATGTTTCCCGGGTTGCGATGGGCGGCAATTGGAGCTGGGAAATGGCGGCGGTGCTTCTGAGCTGCTGCTCGCTCGCCGCTGCCAGCACCATTGCCGAAGTTTACATAACGGCATTGACTTGAATTCCTGGAAGTTCTACCTCTTCTTGAGCAAGACGGTTTCTGGGTTATCCAAGGCGGGTAGTATGGTCCTGACCGGTGCCAACGGCTCGAGAGGAAATAACGTTAGGGCCAATGAATACCGCATAGGAGCAGAGTCGAAGTGCGAACTGCTGCAGGATGGTTCCCTCCGCTTGGAGGATCCGTTTATGTACACCAGTGGGACGGTGATCACAGACCGTCGGGAAGCTTGTTTCATTCTCGCGATGCTTTCACCACAGTCATCGTCTTCCAGATCCTCAAAGCTTCCAGAAAGTACAGGTTACAGCATTCAGCTTTGGGGTTCGGCTTCATACTCCTTTTGCATTAACTGGTACACTCGACAGTTCAGGACAACATTCTATATGAAAGGGCTCTCAGCTCAACAAAATAAACAAGAGAAGGGTGCAAGATTATTGTTGAAAGGTGTAGGGTAGATCACTATAACGAGATAGAAGGTGATAAAAGAGTATATTAAAAAAAAAATAGAAAAAAGGAACATACAACACCAGGGATTCGCTGGTCGTCACCGACCCAACTACTAGTCTGGCCCTCACTGGCTTATCTATGGGAGAGCGGACGGGATCCCGAGTTTTCCAGTGGGTATGGTCGTATGTACTAACCTCTTTTGGAAATGCAGCCTATATCTCGCTGTTGTCCCTTGTCGTAATGAGAAGAGGTCTGTCTGGTGATGAGCGGGTTGAACGTCGTCGATAAACATCATCTCTAGGTTGACACGCTATACCCTCGTGTATTGCTTTAAGAAGTTACTCGGTGTATACATCAAATCAGAGAAAACCTCGCTTAGGCTCGCTCTTTGAGAAGTTTACCTGCTTCCTATATGGAGTTGGGGGGGGGGGGGGGGGTCAATCGCGCCTTGACGCAGATCCATTGCTGAGAGCTGTTGAGAATCGCGATGCTCACCGGTTTTGACATTGATGAGACAGAGGAGTTTGAAAAGGTGAAGTGCTATTATGTCAACAGGAGCTATATGTCTAGTGTCTGGATCCGTTCCGTGCTCAAGTACTCTTTGTGGAAGGAGATCCAGTGGCTCTTGATTATCTCGTGCAGTGGCGAAGGTCAACACAGACGCGTTTGTGGTATAAACACGCATCTTTGAGAGTGACCTGAGGAAGGCTGAAATTGAACCTCGGAAATCATGTCGATCTCCGTGAACCTTCTCCCGTGTGGTAATAAAGGTGATAATTAATATTGATAATTGGATCAGGGTACTGTTACTATCAGAGTTTGTATAATGGAACGAGGGAGCTGATATTCCTGTGAAGTAAACGCAGTAGCATACGTTCTCGACGAGTCCTGGCTGGCTATAGAAACTAAATACCTGACACTAGTTGTAGTGAAGGGCACTTCCATCGGCTCTTCGGGAAAGCCGCTCACACAGTCTCTAGGTTTCTTTTGCGTGCTGTTCAACGGTTGCTCGCAGGTAATCATTGTGCTGTTAGTTAGGCAAGTAGTAATAGTTCAAAAATGTTCCAACTCACATTTTTAACTACAGGTTTGCCACCTGTATGCTGTTCGTTGTGTGAGCCCTTCTGCTGCCGTCGAAATTGCTAATAGTGCTTCTGATGCTAATCCCGCATCTTGTGCTGCTTATGGTTTGGTCGCCGTTGTCGGGGTTGTCATTATTGTTATCAATGGTGGTGGTAACAGCATCTCAAGGTGAATCAAAGCCAAAACCGATGGCACGATAGCCCTAAGATGGGATAAACTGGCTGAAGATGTATCGAGCTTGGGAGTCTGTGAACGAGGTTGCGATCAAAGAAGAACTCGGCCTCTTCATCATTTACTCGGGTTCTCTTTCAAACCCTCGATGACACTATGTTCTTTCATATATTCCAGCACATCAGAGATCTCGTTCATGGCCATATTCTGCCGAAGTTGCTCAGTTGAGTCTGTGATCAATCCTTCGACTGCCTTGAAACTCCAGTTCGAGAAAGATTGATTGGTAGGAGGCGGTCATCATCTTTGGTGAATGTACAGAAGTGTACCAAGCCAATCTCACTAAAAACCAATAAGAATAGAATCTAACAGTCGTTACTTCTCCACGTAGAAGAAGGTAACAGGTTACACACATACAATTTTGAAAACCGGATTGCAAGTGCGAGCCTGTCTGGCACTTACAAGTATTATGATTCGCACCACCCGATCCAACTCAGTCACTAGCATTGATAAACTACAAATGTGGGTTAAGTTGTCACATACGACCATACCCACTGGAAAACTCGGGATCCCGTCCGCTCTCCCATAGATAAGCCAGTGAGGGCCAGACTAGTAGTTGGGTCGGTGACGACCAGCGAATCCCTGGTGTTGTATGTTTTTTTTTCTGCCTTTTCTTTTTTTTCTTTCCCTTTCTTTCTACCTACTGTGTCCTATGCCTTTCATTCCCTCAAACCCGGCACTCGACCCTCTCTCGTTCGTACGCTATTATCATTCCTTTTTCCCCCCCCCTTCTCACAGGTAGTGTCAAGTCTACAACATCACACAAGACACCAAAGAAACAGAAAAGCTGAACAATACCAGGGTCAGCAAAAGACTAATAAATATGACGTGACTTTGTTCTTATTCTTGTTCATCTTGTTGTTTGTACAACATGGGAGGTACATACATACAGGGGCATAATGCGGATACTAAGGTATATGTAAACAAGCCAACAAGAAGTAACAAATGGCGCGCTCGAAGGGGGATATATAATAAATCGAGAAAAGAGACAAAGAACCAAAAACAAAAACGCAAAAGAGAATCGACATTGCCCATCCATTCATCCCGTTCAGTTGACCAGTTCCCATCCGATTCCCTGGCATTCCATCGCATCATCCCATGGATCTCTTTCCTTTTGCTCACTCCCTTTTCTTGAGAGGGATGATAGAGAGGGCAAAAACCAACCCCATACCCGATAGTCCAATGCTGAACTATGCTATGTGCATGGTTGGCTGCTCATGTCATGTACGAAACATCCGGATTCGCATCGATCTTCCGCTGTAGAGACATCTCCCTTTCCAACATGAGTTTCCGCTGCAACGTGCTTTCTCTCTCCAATAAGAGCTTCAGCCGGTGAAGCTGATGATAACTCCCGCCGCTTTCCCTGGCTTTTTCTTTTCTCTTCTTTGCAGCACCTTTTTCTGACGATTCCCCTCCTCCTCCTCCTCCTCCACCACCACCCCCTGCTTGCTGCTTCATCTTCCCTTTGATAATGCTCTTGCTCCTCTTCCTCCTTCTCACGGGTATCCTGAATTTGCTTTTACTTTTCTTGTTCTTCTCATTATCCGTCAACCCACAGCAATTACCGACACTCGCACCAGAAGCAACACTGCTAGCACGACTACGTCTTCCACTACCGCCACCACCGCCACCACCAGCAGCAGCAGCAGCGACGCTACCAGCGCGACTGCGCCGCCCACCAGCACTGGTAGCACTGACACGACTTGCACCACTTCCAGCCCGCCTCCGTAGGCCACCACCACCACCGCCGCCAACCCCAACACTACCGTGTAAACTAACGCCACTACCAGAACGACTGCGCCGCCCCGCCATGATGGGCATGGTGGGTATGGTAGGCATGGCAGGCGTAGGCACGGTTGTTGCAGGAGTGACCATCCCGCTGTTCACCAACCCGTTCCCACACCCACATTTGGGGCCGCAGCAACACCCGCAGCTTCTTCGGCCACAGCAACCACAACCGCAACTCCGGCCACCCCCACCTATTGATGATAAACCAAAACAACCAACGCTCGTAGCGCTTGAACTGTAGGACAAGGACGACAAGGGCAACCGGGTGCGGGCGCCCCCCTAGAAACAGTTCAGACTTCCCTTCTTCTTCTTCTTGCCCGACGCCAGGCTCTGCATCCTCTCTTCGAGGTGCTGTCGCGCCCGTTCGGCATCCACCCGCTTCTTCCGCTCCTCCTCAACCTGCTGCAGGCTCCACCGGTTGTCCACCTGGGGCTTGTCCTTGAGCTCCTTGAGCTCGGCCTCGAGCTCGCCGGCCCGGCGCTTCCAGGCGTCAGCGTCGGCCTTGATCTTAAGCTGTTGTGTCTCGAGATCGGTGAGCGCTTCTTCCAGGGTGGCAGTAAGCTGCTTCTCGGCCAAAAGGTTCTTCTCGATGATGCGGATGCGGGCTTCCTGATCTTCTTGAATGGCTTGGAACTGCTGGTTGGAAAGCGCAGCGGCAAGAATGTCCTTGGAGGGGGGACGAGGAGCGCCACTTGTAGGGGAGACGGCGCCGCTTGCGCGATCGGATGGGAGCGGTGGAAGAGGAATCGCGGGCGGGGGTGAGGGCAGGGACTGCACGGAGTTCGACTTGCGGATGGGAGAGCTCGGGTTAGGGGCGGACTTGGAGTCGGAGCGTTGAGGAACGGACGCTGCTTGTTCGGACAGCACGTTGTACTTGGTCTAAACATACGTGTCAGCAAATGGCGATGGAAGCGACTAAGGGGGATAGGTAGGGTAGGCCAACATACCTGAAGAGCGGCGTACTCCTCCC